TCTTTCTTTCTTTCTTTCTTTCTTTCTTTCTTTCTTTCTTTCTTTCCTTTCTTTCTTTCTTTCTTTCTCTTTCTTTTTTTTAATAAGCTAAACTGCACAGATATAGCTACTGTTGTACTTATTTGAGAAAAAAAGACTTGGGTACAGTCTTCTCTAGCCAAAGGAGTACAGAAGGAAAACTGTCTAGCAAAATGAACTGCATTTCCATAGTCTCATGTCTGCCTGCCTGAGAGGCAGAGGGAGAACGAAGCGATACTAACTCCTCACCCCACATGTTCCCTTTTAAAGACCCCATCTCTTATTCAGGCCTCATCTTCCCTTTAGTCGGTTTGGTATCCACTGTTGTATGTGTTCTTCAGTGGACTTACGTTATGGGCTCGGATTTTCCTCCAGGTTCCTGCAAGCATTCCAGTGTCCCAGTAGGGAAGACAGGCTGGCTAGGGACCTTGCTGATAGGCTGGGGAAGAATAATAAGACTTAGTGCACTGAACCGTAGAAAATGCTTATGACTAGTAGCAGCGTCTTTGCAGGTAGTACCGCCCTAAAAGGTAGTGGAGGTGAGACTGACAGATTGCTCAGAATGGGTTTTTCCTAGCCATTTAGGATCGCACATTTTAGACTAACCCCATCCAGTATTTTACCTGTTGGGTTATTTGCTAAACCATCAAACTGAGAATTTGGCTCCTTAGGGATCCATGTGGTGGCCACCAGCTGCTTTTGGGGACATGCCTTCAAAAATGATTCAGTCATCCCATTGTCCCCTAGCCTCAGAGAATATAAACCTTGGTAAGAAGTTGTCAAGGCCAACCAAATCTGTGAATTTTCCTGTAAGAGGGCATTTTGCTTGAGGCCTGGACTCAGTAGGACCAAAACTGGCTTTGAGAGAAATAGCAGTGTTAAATTGGGGCCCAGAATAGCCTAGGAGAAAGGTTCCTTTGGTTTGTCTTCAAGGGCTAGGCCAACCCACCTACTTCTTGGGGAGCCAGCCTAACTCCTAATGCCCACATTAGCCCAAACCTTCTGCTTTAGTCCTGCTCTCTTGGGTAGGTCTGATTTCAGGTCCTGGGTTAGGAGAGAAAACTAGTCCGGAGAGCTGTCAAGGAAGTCAGAGCTGCGACTACCTGAGAAGTTCTGACCTGTCCTTAAAAGAAGTCCACGTTCTGTGAACACTTGGATCCTGGAGTTGGACACTGACCTTTTTAGCCAATTTTGTAGAAATAGCCTTTTACTGGCCTGTTAAACAAGGGAAGGGATTGTGGGGTCTGAGCCACCCAACAGACAAGATGTCCTCCCAGAAGAGCTTGGCTTTCTAGCTGAAGATCCTTGGGAGATGAATCAAATCCTCTTCAGTGGTTTTTCTTTGCAAATTCATTTGCTTTTATTTTTCTAAAAACTATAAACTCTGGCCATTTTCCATGATCTCAGGGCCCCTGGGTAGACAAAGCTTGATTTCAAAGCAGACAGGCCAAGAAATCATGTCATTGAGTGTGCTCAATCCAGACAAACAATATTTATATACACATCCAAATTTGAAGAGAAAATGTATTTCTTTAGGTTTCAAGCACTGTAATAGATAAAAAGCAAAAATAAAAACCTGTTACAAAGTTCTAAATTGTCTTCTTTCATTTGGAGGACCCCTACACTGGGTTTTTTTGGAAGCAAAAAAGTAAATGTAGCGAGGCATGATGGCACATTCCTGTAATCCCAGTACTTGAGAGAGGCAGGAGAATTACCAAAAGTTTTGAGGCCAGCCTGGGCTACACAGTGAGTTCAAGGCCAGCCTGAACTACATGAGACCCAATCTCAAAAACAAAGAGAGGCCAGGTATAGTGGTATACACCTGTAATCCCAGCACTCACCAGGCTGAGGCAGGTGGATTACTGTGAGTTTGAAGCCAGCCTTGTCTACATACTTCAAGGTCAGCCTGGACTACATAGCAAGAAACTGTCTCAGACTGTCTCAAGAAAAAACAAACTTGGGCCTGCGAGGTAGCTCAACAGGCACAGTGCCTTCCTGACAAGCACAAGGCCCTGAGTCTGAATTCTGGTACCAAAAAAAAAAAAAAACTTGGAAGCTTAACAATGAAGATATGAGCGTTATACCAATCTGGGTATAGTGATATGTGTCTAATGCCACCTACTTGGCAGGCTGAAGCAGGAGGGTCACAAGTTTCAGCCCACCGTGGGCATCTTAGAACCTGTCTCAAAAAAGGGCTAAGGATGTAGCTCAGTGCAAAGGCCCTGGGTACAGTCCCCCATCACTGCAAAATAAAAAGACATCTGTTCCTGTTGTAAAGGGTTTTTTTAATTGGCTTTATTGAAACTCAGTTGACAATACAAAAATTGTACAGAGTATACAGTTTGACAAGTTGAGACATTCGCATCTATGAATGCATTACATATACTGCATATATCTCCATCACCTCCCTAAGTTTCGCTCTACCCTCTTGGGGACTCACTCCTTCCTGCCCTACCCATAGTGACTACCTACTGATCTGTGTTTAGTTTTCACCTTCTAGTTTCTCTGTTTGACCACTCCAGATACAGCATCACTCCACAGCCCTTTGAGCCTGCTGCAGTCAAATTATTCACAAATTCCTCACTTCAGTTTACAGCAGAGATTGCAGTCAAGCAACTAAAACACTTGGAATCCACAGGAAGGTTATGGTTACCAGATGGTGTGTTCAGGTTTTAATTGTAAATTTTTTTTTTTTTTTAACTTGCTGGGGATTATCCCCGCCCAGGGCCTCATTCTAGGCAAGTGCTGTACTACTGCTATCTGCTACGCCCCACCAGCCCAGACTTTTGGTTTTTTGTTTTTAACCATTTTTTAAAAATCAAAAAATAGCTGGGCATGGTGATGCATGTCTGTAATCCCAGCACTCAGGAGGCTGAGGCAGGAAGATCATTGCGAGTTTGAGGCCAGCCAGGGCCACAAAGTGAATTCAAGACCAGCCTGAACTGCATAGTGATACCCTATCTCAAAAAGACAAAAAATAAATAAATCAAAAAAATAAATCTTCAAAAGTACTATCTAGCAGTACTGGCCAGAGTTCTACTTAGCTATAAGAGCTGCTGTATTTTACCAGGAACACCTCTCTCTCAGTTTAACAGGTGCTGATATGGTGCTACATATTGCTTTATTGCAAAAGAAATTAATTTCAGTGCTGGGAATTGAATTCAAGATCTTCAGTCTTCATACAGAGCTACATCCTCAGCCCTCCTCCCGCCCCCTTTTGACACCCTTTCACTAAGTTGCTAAGTTGCCCCAGGCTGAGCTCCAACTCTTGATCCTCCTGCTTAGCATCTCAAGAGTGCCCATGTTTCCATCAAATTTTCATATTTCTCCCTGGCTTCTCCAGGCCACTGTTGACCCTTTCTGCCACATTCTTCACTCCTTCAAAAAACCCCGAGGAACTGACTGGTGATGGAGAAGGCAGAAAAATAACAATCACCTATTCTCACAAGTTGCCTGGACTCTGCCTCAAGGAAAGACTACCATAGTTTTGTTTTTTTCTGAGTAAAAGGCAGGTTAGCAAGTAGGATATGTGCTGGTGTTAGAAGTCCTGATTTGACTACCTGGTTTAACCACTCAGTGTCATGTGACTTTGGACAAGTTACCTAGTTTTTCCCTTAATGCCCTCTTCGCTAAAGCGGGAACCAGTTATGTACAAAGCGTACACATGTCGAGTAACTAGGATCTTAGAGACCAGGAAAATACACAGTAAGTGCTCAAGTAACTATTATGAAACCTCCAGTGGAATAAGGAAATGAAAAGTGAATGCCCCGTCACACAACAAATTACTGATTCAGTTAGCTCTCCTGATTCCCAGCCTAGGAGTCCATTCCTTCGTCAGAGTTCTCAGAGTTCCTAGATGTGCACAGCAAGGAAGGATTGACCGAGGCGCGCAGGAAAAGACAGGCATAAAGGTTTGGGAGGTGAACCGTAGCTTCTTTGTAAGTACGAAACTGACGCGGATATCCCTGCTGAAGCACTGGTTTCTCTTGGAGCTCCAGGCTATCTGGTTCTTGGGAGGAAAGCCTTCTCTATTGCATCTTGGGAGTTGTGGCCGGCCCCGATGCATGCAGGGACAGTAGTCCTTTCCCTCCCCCGCCTCAAAAGCAGCCTTCGCGCCATCTTTCCCAATAAGCTCCGCGCCAGCTCCGGCCGCTGATTGGTTGTACTGGGAGAAGGCGGCCCAGCCGGTAGCGGTTACTGGGGTTTCCGGTACGAAGCCAGAGCGGGGACGCTGTCGGAGGACGGCGGTGAGATGCGGGGAGCAGCGCGGGTGAGACGAGACAATACGAATGTGTGCACCAGGGCGCCTCTGTCAAAGGGGGGAAAAAAAATCACACGGGTTCCGCGCGTGGGCTGTGGCGGGGCCGGCGCATTGCGCATGCGCAGGCGTTCCGAGCTGCTGGAGGGCGCGCGGGGTGTGGGTGGCTGCGCGCGCGCGCTCGCGCGCAGGGGCCCACGTGGGGCGGGGGGCGGGGAGGGGTCGGGACTCGAGCGTCTCTCCACGTCAGTCCGCCGCCGGGAGCCAATCCCGCGCTCGGCCTGCCGTGAGGGGGCCGTGTAGTGCCGAGAAGTGGCTTTGGGAGAAAAGAGGCCTTTTTCTACCCTCTCCAGGAGCGGCGCCCCGAGAGCCTGCCAGGGCACGTCAGGGTCCCCTGATTGCCCAGAGACTGAGTACCGCTGGCTTCTCCGGTGAGGGCCAGCCAGTTTGTTTCAAGCAGCTTTGTGTTCCTGGTGTTGGGATTTCGGGTCCGGGCTGTGAAGAATTTTGAAGTCTGGAAAATAGCAACTGCACACGTTCTTAAGGATCTACTCCTAACCTAGCGCTGCACAGCACAATGAAGAACCAAGACAAAAAGAATGGGGCTGCCAAACAGTCCAACCCCAAAAACACTCCGGGGCAGCCGGAAACGGGAGCAGAGGGCCCCCACGGGAGGCCCAGCCAGTCGCCTCCTGCTGCAGAAGCTGAAGGTTCCACCAGCGAGGCTCCCGGGAAGACGGAGGGTGTGTGCCAGCTCTGCTTTTCCAGTCGGCAGGGGGAGGAGTTGGTGGTACCGGCTTTGACTTCGGGAGCTAGAGGCTGAGGCCACTGTTTACCCAGGAAGAAGGAAATGAAGAATGAGAGGAGATAGTGCCCAGCCTGGGGAGGTGGCAGGGCCGCCCACTCAGGCCTAGAACAGACCCGGAGCAGGCTCTGACAGGCTTAATCGGGTGACAGCCAGACGGGACGCCCCGCCAGCAAAGCCCTGGCCCATCAGAAACACCTACTCGATCTGTTCGAAGAGCAAGAAATGGCTTTTGTGGGGAAGGGTATAGACTAGAAATTGAGCTTCTGCTCCGTGCCAGCCCCACATCACTAAAACTAACAGGGTTTACATATTTGACTGCTTTATACGCCTACCACGCACGTTCGGGTGGTAGAAAGAAAGAGTTCTGTAAATAAATTGAGGCTTAAATAAGTTAGGCACCGATTAACCCACACTAGTGAGTTTGCTGGGCCTGCAAATATCCCAGCCAGTGGTGTAACCATCTTATTTCTCACCCTACTCCATTTCTCATCATTTTTTTTGCTGTAGGGGCTCAAGCCAAGACATCTCAGTCTGGAGCCCTCCGTGATGTCTCTGAGGAGCTGAGCCGCCAGCTGGAAGACATCCTGAGTACATACTGTGTGGACCACAATCAGGGTGGCTCAGGTGAGGATGGAGCACAGGGTGAGCCCACTGAACCCGAAGATGCAGAGAAGTCCCGGACCTATGCTGCAAGGAATGGGGAGCCTGAGCCAGGGACCCCAGTAGTTAATGGTGAGAAGGCGACCTCCAAGGGGGAGCCAGGCACAGAAGAGATCCGGGCGAGTGATGAGGTCGGAGATCGGGACCACCGAAGGCCACAGGAGAAGAAGAAAGCCAAGGGTCTGGGTGAGAGAGGGCAGTTACTTACAAGGCTGGTGAAGGGAGGGAGTTTGGACCTGTTGTTCGTGCACTAGCCTGTTCTGCCGGGATTCAGAGGAAACTGCTTGGAGAGCAGCAGGTCCCCCTAGTTTCATCAAAGCCAGGAATGCAAGATCACAGCATTGAGGTGTACTGTGCAAGGCCTGCTGACCTTTTGAGCCGGTGGGGGCTGAAATCCAACCTCCCCTCTCTTTAAGAAAATGGAGAGCAGAAGGTCTACATAAACCCTATGCCAGTTAGCACCACTTCTAACCTGCTGTGTGCTGTTGAACATGGCCGTACCCAATCTGGGTCTTAGTTCCCACTCGTGTACCCTAAGAGAATTGGACTAAACCACAGTTGAAACGCAAATATCTACATAAGCCAGGCTTAATAAGGACCAAGAGAGGACCTGCTTCACCCAGAGGGTTGACTGTCTGCTGGTTAGTTCCATGTTCTCAACTGATTGCATGTCCTCAACTGACTAGTTGAACAGTTGGCAACTAAAATGGTAAGATCCGAAGTAGGGACCCTCATAAGCAGATGGAAGGATCCCTAACTCCTAAACAGGCATTAAGAAAGAAAAAGTGACAGGCATTCCACAGGGAATATATGTATGAGTTTTTAGAACCCAGATTAGGTGACAGTACACTCAGGTTGTTGTCCCCAGCCCTTTACTGGTATCTATGTATGTACATATGTATTTATTTTGGTACTGGAAATGGAACTCAGGACCTTGCGCTGTGCCGTTAAGCTATATCCCCCAGCCCTACTGGTTCTTACCTATTATTTTAAAGTCTAGGATCACATATATGGAAGGAATATTCATTTTTAAAGTTCACTGTTTAGCTATGTCTATTGACAGGAGTTTAGTTAATTTCTTAAAGAGGCCAAGAGCCCTGTTCCTTTTTTGGATCCCACCTTCAAGAAACTTCCTTACATTGAAACAGTAGCCCCAGATTCCCACATGGGGTACCTTCTGTCGGTTGGTAAAGCAGGCAATCTTTCCTCCTATCAGTGGTGCCCACCAAGGACATTACACAGGGATTCCATTCTTCATTTGGTGAACATTTAATGAGCATGTGCTTTTGGTGACATTAGAACAGAACTGGTTTGAGTTGGTCCAAACCCTCATGAAACAGCTAGCCTAGCAGGGAAGGCAGCCAGATCAACAAAAAAAATACAAAGTACGATAAGAGAGGGCCAGCCAGGCATGGTAGTGCACACCCGTACTGTAATCTCAGCATTCTGAAGGCTGAGGCAGAAAGATCGCCACAAGTTCAAGGCCAGCCTGGACTACATAGTGAATTCAAGGCCAGCCTGAGCTACACAGCGAGACCCTGTCTCAAAAAAAAAAAAAGAGGGCTGCCTCAGTGCTCATGAGGGTAGGCCCTCCGCACAAGAAGAGGATGCATGCCTTTGTTCCCTGTACTTTACAGGGAAGGAAATCACGTTGCTGATGCAGACACTCAACACGCTGAGTACCCCAGAGGAGAAACTGGCAGCGCTGTGCAAGAAGTATGCTGAACTGGTCAGTTTGCCCCTTCTGCTGCTGCCCTCCTTGCCTTTGGAAAGTCATCAGGCCACCTGACGTGGGGGTGGGGATACAGAGGCTGGTGGCTGGCTCAATTCCTATTCAACCTTTTAAAAATTCTATTGTATTATTGTTTGTACATGTTTAGTACATAATGTTTGCATTCACTTTAGGGAGTAGGAACATATACTTAATATATCTTAATTCTTTTAATTCCCTTCCCCCCTGCTGCCCTATGTCTAGATCCCCTTCCCACATTTTCATTTCTTTGTTTTTTGTGTCCTGTTTTGTTTTTTAGTTCATGTTTGGAATACATAATGATTATTCTGATTGTGGATAGGTGGTACATGTACACAACACAACACATCTTAATTCTTTCCATGTGTCTACCCCCACATCAGCCTTTCTTTGAACCTTTCCCCCATCTGTTATGTGGGGAGTCATTTCTCAGTCATCCACTTCAGGGCTGACATTAAGAGGGAAAACTTGACTTTCCTTGAAAGAAATTTCTCAAAGAATGATTCCCAGATGATAGAGCTCTAGCTTCTGGCCTGAGTCCCAGATACCATGTGATCTTGGTCTTACGTGCTTCTGTATGCATCTTCCTGAAATGTAGAGATGCTTAGTGCTGTTACCATATTTAGCATATATTCATTTGGTGTTCATTTTCCTTTTACTTCAGAGCAGTTCATTTCATTACCTTCATTTTTTTTTCCCCCATGACATTAACTTACTACAGAGCACATTGTTCTGTATGATGTCCCAACTCTCGCTTTGTTGATTATCCCTTTACTTCCTTAGTTCCTACAAGTGGAATTTAGCTCTAGGAGCTTGATCCAATTCCTATTCAGTTTTGTTTGTTTTGTTTTGTTTTTGTAGTACAGTAATAGGGATTGAACCCAAAGGCTTTTGAACTGAGCTAAATAAATACCCAGGCCTATTTTTGGCTTTTATTTTGAGACAGGGTCTCACTAAATTGTTCAGGCTGAGTTTGAACTTGCAGTCCTCCTGCCTTAGATTCCCAGATTGCTGGAATTATAGGTGTGTACCATCACACCTGGCTCAGGTTCAACTTTTGTGACAAGGATTCTTTTTAGGTAGTACTTTATGCTTCTTGTTGCATCAGAAGAAATGCCAAGTGTGATTTGACCAACTTTTAGCGTTATAAACGTTGAGTGGGTTGGTGGAAGGCGGGAGCAGAGAAGCCAGGGTCATCTTTTATCTGGCTTCCTATTAGAATTTGAGTGAAGATTTATCCTTTGATGGTCATTACCTATTTATTTTAAAGTTATTTCATCCCAACTAAATTTCTTAGCTGAATTCTTAAGGAACTTACCTATAAGTTGGGAGAGGTCATACCTGCTTCATGGGATTATTTTAAGAATTAAAAAAAGGAAGATAAAAAGAAGGCAACCTCTATTTGGAGTGACCTGGCCAGAAAAGGATTGATGATGCAGGAGAAGAGGAAGTCAGTTGCTGGAATGATGTTCTGTGTAGAGGAGGGTAGTTGGTACATAGAGGGGAGCTGAGGCCCGGTGTATAGGGCTTGGCCTTGGTGGCAGATAGCCAGGGCCATGACAAGAGAAGACAGACACAGGTGGCTGGTGGATGGGGAGCTTGTGCTGCTGCCGCTCTAGTATCTTTTGTATTCCCAGGGAAATGAGGAAGATGGCTGTGCCTGGCTTGGGGAAAAATTGAGGGGAATACAAAACAGTTATCTGGAAGAGTAGTGTAAGTAGCATGAGAAATATAGAATTGCTGGACAGACAGGGATCTTCCTGAAATTGGTCATGAATTTAAAGTAATTCTTCAAGCAGGATTGTGTCAGTGTGGTGCAGAGTAAGCAGGAAGGTTCTTTACCAGGGCTGAGAGAGGGGCTAAGGGAAGGGAAGGATATAAGAAGGCAAGTGGGAAAAAAAAAAAAAGAAGAAAGCAGTTGATTGTTTAAAGGAAGACAAGTGAAGGTTGGTTGGGCCAATAGACTAGAAGACAATGGCAGGGATGAGCTAGAGAGAGATGCTGATGGTCCTGGCTTGGTCCTTCAAATTGAAGTAACAGGTGCAGTACTTGGTAATAACAAAGTCTAAACCTGTGTCGCCCAGGACAGTAACCTGTAGCTAACTGATAAGTACTATTCTGAATTTGTATGTGCTGAAGTATAAAATACACACCAGGACTAGGTGTGGTGGCACATGCCCATAATCCTAGCTCAGAAGGCTGATGTAGTTCAGTGGGGAAGGTCTTAGGTTACATTACCAAGGACCCAAGATACCAAAAAAGAAAAAATAATAATTTCACCTATTTGTTTTTTACTTTTTTAGAGTAAGTACTAGAAGATTTTAAATTACATATACAGGCAGCATTTTATTTTTACTATCCGGAAGTAGGTAAGATCATGGAAGGGGAGCCAAGCTAGAGAAAAGGAATGGGTTTGTGGAAGAAGTTAACTAAGAGCAGAAAAAAAAAAAAAAGAACTAAGAGCAGAGTCGATTGTCCATCAGTATTAAAACAGCCAAAACATCGAGACCCTGTCTCAAAAAACCAAACCAAAAAAAAAATAGCCAACAGTAAGCTGGGCATGGTGGCACATTCCTGTAATCCCATCACTCAGGAGGCTGAAGCAAGAGAATCACCACAAGTTCGAGGCTAGCTTGGGCTGCAGCGTGAGTTCAAGGGCAGCCTAGACTACAGAGTGAGACCCTGTCTCAAAAAACGTTTTTAATTAATTAGTTAAAATAGCCAAGAATGAGAATAGTGCTTGGTTACTTTTCTCTCGTTGCTGGGACAAAATACTTTACGCCCAAAAGTAAGGAATGAAAGGTTTACAGTTTGTGGAGGTTTCAGTCCATACTTGGCAGATTACAAGGCAGAGTGGCACATGGCAGAGGGCTACAGCTCATGGCGGCAGAACACAGCAAAGCAACAAAACACACACACAAGGGAGGAAATGGCCAGAAGCACCCTCTTTCTCTCCCTTACAGATGCAAACTATCCACCCCAGGGTGGTTGTAGTTCTCACACCCACAATCAATCAAACTCTAAAAGCCTGCCCCATGGCCGCTTGTGGCTTTGGGGGGACACCCAGACACAAACCATAACAATAGGAATCATGATGGAGAAAGTAACACATTAGCAGTGTCAGCTTGTGAGAGTGCATGAGGCCTAAGTGCATTCAACTGGAGTCAAGGGAAAAGCCAATGCTCAGCTCAGCTCCAAAGTCCCCAGTGCCACTTAGGGTCCCCATGCGGGGCCTCCCAAGCACTCACTGCCCTCCCTGTCCCCAGCTGGAGGAGCACCGGACTTCACAGAAGCAGATGAAGCTCCTGCAGAAGAAGCAGAGCCAGCTGGTACAGGAGAAGGACCACCTGCGTGGAGAGCACAGCAAGGCTATCCTGGCCCGCAGCAAGCTTGAGAGCCTATGCCGCGAGCTGCAGCGGCACAACCGCTCCCTCAAGGTAGGCCCAGAGCTGGGAGCAGCACTGATTTCCTTAGACATCACTGGACTTTCCAGTATAGAAGTACATTCCCCAGTAATGCCCTGATTTGGAGAGGACTGTTGGACTCATTTGACAAGTTCTTGTATTAGGTAAGGTGAAGACTAAGGTGCTGAAAGCACTGTAAATGTAGTGTCCTCACTGCTTCTCCTTTAAGTAGTGGTCCCTGGTGTTAGTTTTTCCACTGTATAACAAATACCTGAAATACTCAACTTATAAGGACAGAATGTTTATTCTCTCCTTCTGGAGGTTCCAGTTCATACTGGGGTACACCCATATTTTTAGGGCTCTAGATGGGATGGCCAAACATGGTGGGAGCATGTACAAGAACAAAACCATTCATCTCATGGCTGAGAACTGAAAGGGACAGGAAGAGAACAGGGTGCCGTGGCCCCCTTCAAGGACATGCCTTTAATTACCCATAAAAACATCTAAGTCCCACCTCTTAAATGTCCTACCACCTCCCAGTAGTGCTGTGCCAAGTGCCAAATCTTTATTATATAAACTTTGTGGTACACTTAAGAGCTAAACTATAAGCCAGAAGTAGTGGTGCACACCTAATCACAGCAGTCTGGGAGGCTGAGGCAGGAGGATCACAAGTTCAAGCCCAGCCTGGGCAGTATAACAGAGAACCTGTCTCAAAACAATGAATAAAAAACTCTGGGGGATGTCACTGTGAAGGCCCTGGGTTCAGTCCCCAGTACTGCTAAATAAATATCCAAACTATAGTATCCAGCAAGCAGATACCTAGTCCTTGTCCCAGAGATTAGTCAGGAACCTGGGTTCTTCACCTGTTGTGCTTCTCACAGGCTGAGGTCAGTCTGTGGTTAAAGCCTGGTCCCTGCCATGATTTCCAGATAGTTTCTCATGAACATATCTTTACAAACTTACATATTTCATACAATATTAGATTGTTTTGTTTCTTTGGTACCGAAAATTGAACTCAGGACCTTGCACTTGCCAGGCAGCCACTTGTGCCGCTGAACTATATCCCCGGGCCTGTTCCATACAGTATTTGAATTTGTGTACATACATATTTTGTTTTGCTTATTTTTAGTTCATGTTTATCTTTGAAAACATAAGTAATATAAATTAGTTTTACATACAGGTTTTCTTTTTTTCATACAGGCTTTTAAACAAAATTATAATACCTGTACTGTTTATATCCTATCCCTTTTTTACTATTTAATACCTTATCTTTTCTCCCCCTTTCATATAGGGCTATGTCACTCTTTCTAACACCTCTATTGGGTATACATGTTACATCTTCTGTGTCCTACTTAAGATACTCTATTTTGGGGTTGTTTGCAAGTTTTCACTATTACGTATAGACCTGCAGTAAAAATTCTTGGTATATGTGTCCCTGGCCAGTTTATCTACAGGATAAATCTCAGAGGTCAAATGACTGGGCCAAAGAGTATGCAAATTCTAAGTATTAATAGATTTTTCCAGATTGTCTTTCTTTTTTCTTTGTCTTTTTTTTTTTTTTTTTTTTTTTTTTTTTTGTCTTTTTGAGACAGGGTCTCGCTCTGCAGTTCAGGCTGGCCTTGAGCTCACTTTGTAGCCCAGGCTGGTCTCGAACTCAAAACGATCCTCCTACCTCGGCCTCCTGAGTGCTGCGGTTACAGGCATGTACCACCACACCCAGCCAGATTGCCTTTCAAAGAGTACTCCTCTCAACAATGTCTAATTGCCTAATTTTCCACAATCCTAGTATTACTAAATTTTAACAACCTGGTCTGTAGGGAGAAAGGAAAGACAAAAGCACATCAGAGTAGGACACTTAATCTGAAATCTGGAAGCATAAACTGCATGATCTAAGATGCTTCAGAATGGTATTTAACATATGTGCCTGCATTTTTCTAGGAAGAGAATCTCACAGGATGTCACCTGATTTACAGGGGGTGCATTAGGAACCCCGTTGCATGACACCCTGGAGCCTGGCTACTCCTCACTTTGGGAGCAGGGAGGGCTGTTGGCAGAGACCATCTGTGGGCTAGTTGGGAGAGCCTTGTGCAGCTGGCTGGGGAACAGTGGATGATGGTGCTGGGCTGGCTTCTCTGCCCAGGAAGAAGGCATACAACGGGCCCGGGAGGAAGAGGAGAAGCGCAAGGAGGTGACCTCACACTTCCAGGTGACACTGAATGACATTCAGCTGCAGATGGAACAGCATAACGAGCGCAATTCCAAGCTGCGCCAAGAGAATATGGAGTTGGCTGAGAGGCTCAAGAAGCTGATTGAGCAATATGAGCTGCGTGAGGAGGTAAGGCTGTTGCAGACGGGGGTCATGACCAGCAGATTGTGCGGCTCTGGGTGTGTGCTGGGCACCTGCAAAGTACGCTGCTGGCTTCATCCTGCTCCTCCTTGAGTCCAATGTCATCTCTCACAGATAAGGAACAGTAGCTGGGTGTGGTGGCACATGCTTATAATCCCAACACTTGGGAGGCTGAAGCAGGAGCGTTGCAAGTTCGAGGCCATCCTGGGCTACAAAGTGAGCTCAGTGCTCAAGGCAGCCTGAACTGCATCACCAGACCCTGTCTCAAAAAAAAAAAAAAAAAAAAAGGTGGTATGTAATATTGTGTATTACATGATATCCCCAGCAGGGTCTTGGGGCAGCACCGCCAAATGAGACACAATATATTAGGTAGTGAAATTTCTGCATACTCACCTATATTATAAGATAGTTTCACAGTGGTGCAAATGAAGTTTAGCTGCTAGCTTTTGACTTTTATAGAACTTGGAATTACAATTGAGGCGTGGTGAGGCACACCTGTAGTCCCGGGTACTCAGGAGGCTAAGGCAAGAGGACTAAGTTCAAGGCCAGACTAGGCAATTGTGCAAGGCCCTGTCCCCAAAAAAATTTTTACAGGGCTGGGGATGTACTGTAATGGTAGGGCACTTCTCTAGCATGGCTAGAGAAGTACATTGCCAGTACCATTTTTTAAAGTGAGACAGAGTTTCACTATGTCATTCAAGCTGGCCTTGAGCTCACTTTGTAGCCCAGGTGGGCCTCGAACTCACAGCAGTCTTCCTGCCTCAGCTTCCCAAGTGCTGGGATTATAGGCGTACACCGCCATGCCCAACCTTTTTTTTTTTTTCATTAGAAGAAGCCAGATGTGGTGGCACATGCCTATAATCCTAGCACTTGGGAGGCTGAGGCAGGAGGAGTGCCACGAGTTCGAAAACAGCCTGTACTACTTAGCAAAACCCTGTCTCAAAAAAAAAAAAAAAAAATTACAGAGGAGGAGCTAAACCTGTGTTCACTGATTTCTGGCTGCTCCTAACACTTGAAAGAGCAGGGTGTAACCACTTTAGCTAGCATTGGCACTAACCCAAGCAGTTAAATCTTTGACTCCCGTGTGTTAGTCACTTGGATGTTCTGGGCCATTTTCCTTGTCATGAGAAGGGGTGCATATAGGTACCTTACAGGGCTGACAGACAACCCACTGTGAACCAGGTCCTTTCCTACGGCCAGTGTGGGCAGGCAAGACTGCCTCTTGAGCTCACAGGCCAATATGGTGATCATATGTATGTAGAGCCTAAAAGGGATTCCCTGACCACCGTTTCTTATTCATCTTTTGGGGACAAAGTTGCATGTGATATATTTGGGCTCTTTTTTTTTTTGGTACTGGGAATCGAACTCAGGACCTTGCACTTGTGCCACTGAGCTATATCCCCAGCATTTGATATATTTGGTTTGGGAAGAATTGCTTTGGTTCTTGCTTCTCAGCACAAAGAGACATAAAGACTTTGTGGGCCATTAGTGTGAAATACTAATTCTAAGAATCTGAAGGCCACCTTCCCCTCCTCTGCCCTTTCTCTTTCTTTTTCTTTCCCCTCCCCCTTCGCTGAAAGCAGAAAGGACTTGGTGCTGCCTGTGGAGGAGGAGGAAGAGGTGTGGATCTACTACTATGCCCTCTGGTTTCTTATTTATAGTCCTTAGGTTCGGATGCTACCACTGAGCCTCTGAACCTTAGATCAGTGGTGACTGGACCTATCTTCAAGATACCTTCCCTTCTCCATCCGAAAAAGAAATCAGATTCCCTATATTCCTTATTTATTTCATTAAGTCCAGGGAACTTTGTCTTTGGTTTTTTTTGTTGTTGTCGTTTTTTGTCTTTTTGAGACAGGGTCTCGCTATGCAGTTCAGGCTGGCCTTGAGCTCACTTTGTAGCCTAGGCTGGTCTCGAATTCGCAGTGATCCTCCTGCCTCAGCCGCCCGAGTGCTGGGATTATAGGAGTGAGCCACCACATCCGGCTGAACTTTGTCTTTGAAGTAGCACTTTAGTCCATCACCTTATCCATCACCAGTCCATCACCTTCGGTCCATCACCTCAGTCTCACCTGATCTAGGTCCCTAGTGCTCCTCCAGTAGTCCAGACAGCCATTTCTAGCACATATCAAATCTTCACTTATAGATAGATATGTCAAATCTCTGCCAACTAAGCTAGGCTGTTTGTAGGAATGTTTTTGCCCCTTCTCACTTACAGGGAGAGCTGAGCTATAAAAGTAAGGAATGCCAGTTCCTTGACGTGGTTAGTCTCTGGACCAGAGGTTTTAGTGTGTTTATTGCTTGGCTTCCTGGGAGATAATTCCATTCATATATCCTGGTGCTTATCCAGGTCTGATTCATTGGGAGAAAAAACATGTGAGGTTAGAAAGTTGACCTTCCGGAGAGGTAGGACCCACACCCTGTGGTACATGAGGGAGCCTAGCACATCCGATCAAGATGGGCTGAGTGGGGGCTGGGGATTTAGCTCAGTGGCAAAAAGCGCCTGCCTGGCAAGCGCAAGGTCGTGAGTTCGGTTCCCGGTACCGGAGAAAACCAGTCCAAAAATGGGCATCTGAAGTGAATAGATACTTCTGCACGGGGTACAAACCGCAAAAAAAAAAAAAAAAAAAAAAAAAAAAGATGGGCTGAGTGAGGTGTCGCGATCCTCACAGTTGAAACTTCCCTGGCTGTGCTAGGCTTCCCTGAGAAAGGGAGCTCCTGACAAACAGACCCTTCCCACCGTCTTTCCTGCAGCACATTGACAAAGTCTTCAAACACAAGGACCTACAGCAGCAGCTAGTGGATGCGAAGCTCCAGCAGGCCCAGGAGATGCTGAAGGAGGCAGAGGAACGGCACCAACGGGAGAAGGACTTTGTGAGGCTCAAGCACCAGGGCTGGGGTTGGGAGTATGAGAATGTGGGCTGGGTTCTAGCTTGGTTGAGAGTTGAGCTCATGTGGATGAAATGATTGCTGTCGGGCCAGGCCAGTCACTGCTTGCCCAGGCAGCAGTCTGAGAACAGGCAGCCTCAGTGGGTCCAGTGCTTGTGGTTAAAGAGGACCAAACATAGCCCCCGGGGCTTCTGACAGTCTGGGATCATGTCTTGAAAATAGCTCCTGAAAGAGGCAGTGGAATCCCAGAGGATGTGTGAGCTGATGAAGCAGCAGGAGACCCACCTGAAACAGCAGGTAAGATGGTGTGGAACTGACCCTGGGCCTCCCAAGTTTCCTTCACTAGTCCTCATTCTAAGGGATATAAAACTTAAGGTTGTATTCTTCCAAATACATGTTTTTCTGGCCAGGTGTGGTGGCGCATACCTGTAATTCCAGTACTTGGGAGGCTGAGGCAGAAGGATTCCCACAAGTTCAAGGCCAGCCTGGGCTCTATAGTGAGTTCAAGGCCAGCCTGGACTGCATAGCAAGACCCTGTCCAAAAAAAAAAAAAAAGTTTTCCAGAAAGTGTTATCTCCATAGAATTGCTGTGTCAAAAGGCCAAGGAAAGGTCAGTGTATTGACCAGAAAAGTGTCTTCCAGAGAAGCCCAGTCTTACCTGTGGACTTCTGTCTACCACAGCTTGCCCTATACACAGAGAAGTTTGAAGAGTTCCAGAACACACTTTCCAAGAGCAGCGAGGTATTCACCACATTCAAACAGGAGATGGAAAAGGTACCGATGATCCAAGCTGGGTATGGCTGCTGGAACACACTCAGAATTGAACGTGGGGGTCTGCTTCCTGGGAGCTAACCGATGGTGCCTCATAGGAAGTTGTTTGCAGAAAGTGTGATTGCTATCAAAAAGGGTCTGTTAAGAGGGATCACAGCCTTTTCCACTGGCCAAGAGGTAGTCTTGTCATTTTTGTTGGTGTTGGACTTTTTCTTTTCTTTTTTGGTGGTAGGAGTCAAAGTCAGGGCCTTGTCCATGCTAAGCACACATTCTGCCACTGAGCCCCACTCCTAGCCCAAGTGTGGACATTTAAGCTGAGACTTCCCAGGGGCGGAGTTGCACAGATGTGGGAGACGCAGATGCTCAGCTCCGACCATTCCCTTCCATGTGCCGTGTAACCCAGATGACTAAGAAGATCAAGAAACTGGAAAAAGAAACCACCATGTACCGGTCCCGGTGGGAAAGCAGCAACAAGGCCTTACTTGAGATGGCTGAGGAGGTGGGTAGAGGGTGACAATCCCCAGGCCAGGGAGAGCCTTATGACTGTGTATTAGGTCCTTTCTCCTTTCTGCTAGTTAGTGATCTTGTTCGCATGAAGTGCACCTAGGATGTTTGTGCATCTGTGTCCAACTCCAGAGGTGATACTAGAAATCTGCCCATGGGAGGAGGCAAACGCCATGGTAGTCTGCATGGAACCCAGGGAGAAAATGGAAGAAAGGGCTGAAGGAGCCAAAAAAACCTGGGGTGCTGATGATGCATGAGGTTCGCATATACAGCAACCCAATAATTTGTCATTTCATGGCTTGTGATACAAAAGAAAGAAACTAACGCTGATGGAGCAACAGTTACAGGCTTGCTGAATGTTTAAATATGCTGGTTCAGTGGACCTTCTCTTTTTTTTTGTTTTGTCTTTTTGAGACAGGGTCTCGCTATGCAGTTCAGGCTGGCCTTGAGCTCACTTTGTAGCCCAGGCTGGCCTCAAACTCGCAACGATCCTCCTGCCTCAGCCATCCGAGTGCTGGAATTATAGGCATGCACCACCATGCCCAGCTAGTGGACCTTCTCTTAACACTTGTGGTTGTTGTTAGTAATCCTGTTTTTCAGATGAGATAGACTCAAAAGCCCCGTGTTTTGCCAGTATCACCTGCTAAATGACTAGAATACATTGTGTGACCTCTAGGCCATACCCATCTCTGTATTGCACTGCCCCCAGATAAAGCAGGGTTGTTTACTGAGAGGGGCCAGGTTTTGACTCTAGGCTGCTCCCAGCCTTTTTGAAGTGAGTGTCTCCCACAAGTGATGGTGTTGAGCGGAAGAACTGCTGGGACGGCCCTGAAGGCCCCATTTCTCTCCCTAGAAAACTCTGCGGGATAAAGAGCTGGAGGGCCTGCAGGTGAAAATCCAGCGGCTGGAGAAGCTGTGCCGGGCACTACAGACAGAGCGCAATGACCTGAACAAGAGGGTACAGGACCTGAGTGCTAGTGGCCAGGCCCCCCTCACTGACAGTGGTCCTGAGCGGAGGCCAGAGGCTGCCCCTGCAGCTAAGGAGCACGGCAGTGAGGGGCCTGGGACTCAAGCACCCAACTCCTCAAGGGCCACCGAAACGCCTGGCTGCCCAGAAACACCAAGCACGGAAACAATGGGGCCTCAGGCGCCCACTTCTGCCACCACATAGACAGCCTGGTGCTTGAGGCATGCTGGGACGGGAGCAGCACCCAGCCAGGCCTGGCCCATACTAGGCTCCCACACCAAACAGCCAGTGCTGAAGTCAGGGTGTTCTGACCTGAGAGGCCTCTGCCACTTCGCAATTTTGGATTTTGTGGGTCAGTTTCACATACACAGCATATGTGCAAGGCCTCGTGCATTTACATCTCTAAATGTACAGGGGCTTGCGTTGAAGGTGGGTGTACAGATGAAGTCAGTGCTCCTCTAAGCTGAAGAGTCTTACAGAGGAGGTGTCATCTGTAGCTGCCATCACAGTGAGCTGGCAGGGCAAGTGACTTGAGCATTTCTTGCCCAATTTGAGGCTCAGACCCCTCCCAGCCCTTCAGAGCTTATGACAAGTAATATACCAAGTCCTGGATTGCATTCTGTGGTGAGCAGGGCTTGGGCAGCTCGGGCTTTTTAGCTCTCACAGAGGTGTCATTGCTTCTCAGCCTGGGAATGCTGTTCCTCTGCAGAGCCTCAGCGTGGCACTCGGAGCCTAGGGCAAGGGACCTGGAGAATGTTTCACTGTGGGATGATGTGCTGGTTGGGCGCCCCTGGGGCACTGTTTCCCTTGCCCACCTGTAGTGCCAGGACCAGGCCAATGTTGCTTCTCAGTAGCCTTATCATTCACAGGTGCCTCTCTAGCCTGCATAAATGATTGGCAAGAGATCAGCCAAAGGATTCTTTCTGAAGGCATATTGTTTTGCACGTGACAGTTCATGCGAGGATTTTCTGAGGAAAAGGGATCCTCAAATAGTGGTCCTGGGTGCCTGGCCTCCAGTGTCCCACCCCTCACCGCCCCACCTTGCTCCTTAGCCGTGTTGGTGCTGAGGTTTCGTCTTCGAAAGGGAAGATCAGATTGTTTAAGAGAAAGAAAAGGGCTTCTGATGGCTTTGCCATGAGCTTGCCTGTGAGTTTCAACCCTGGGAGGCCACGATAGAGTCCCATCACCACCATCTCCGTGCAGCAGTTGCTGGGCTCTGGGTCCCGCTCCCCCTTGGCTTTATGGTTCTTTTTCTGCTTCCTGCACCCCAACCCCAACCCCAGTGTGCAGTCCTTGAGGTTTGCTGCAGTGGACATTTCTTCACCTCCTTGCCCAAGAAATAAGAGTCCTCCTTGGAATTCTATTTCTTCCTGTGTGGGAGCCCCCAGCTGTTACCTTACCTTGACAGAATAGAATTCTGAAGTAGACTGGGCCCAGGAAATCCACAAAAAGGCTGCAGATGGTCTTTCTGTCCCACTCTACCTGACCCAGAACATTATTACTCTGTACTGTGTGTAGCAGCTCTGTGTTAAAAGCTCTTGTTGCCCACCTGGAAGGGTATTAGTCGCTGTTTGGACAGAGCAGTTTTCTGGGGCAGTAGAATGAGTCTTGAAAGCAGGGTTCTGCTGAGCTAGGGGTACTTTAGATGCCCAGCAACAGTTTGAGTGTTGAGACCTCTTTGCCATCCCTGGCTAGATCTGCTCTCCTAAGGAGAAATGTTTTGCAAGATCTTTGTCTTCCCCACTTTGAAGTCCCTTGGAATGGTCCCTTCCTGTTCCTGCCCCAGTAAGGCCTCCCCCAGCCTCATGCCAGGCTGAAGAACAAAAACTGTCCAAGCCACAGAGGGTTTGTTAGGCTGTGGAGGCGTAGGAAAGAGAGAGATCTGCTTGCCCCCATGGAGAAAGTGGAAAGGCCTACAGTGGCCCACATAATTGCTTGCCTCACTTCAGCTACCTCTTAAAGCCCTTGGGGGGTTGGAACCGTTGGATCCCAGGGTGGAAGGATGGGAAGCTTCAGTATGCAGGTGGTCCCAGCTGGGCTCCTTATAGCAGAAATGTGAGCCCCAGACCAGGTAGAACATTGGCTCTTGGCTCCATCCATTTTTAGGCACCCATGCCAAACTGTTCATGGGGATCTCTTTCTTTCTCTTCCATTCCATTGACCAAATCTCACCGGTCACTACAGCTGCTGTGCTTGTTCTGCTGTCCAAAGTCAGCTTGGGTGCTGCCCACCCTAGCCAAGAATGGGGGGAGTGGCCTATGTCTGAGTGAGAGCCAGTCTCTTGCTCACCCAGGTGAGTCCTATGCACATGACCTCAGTTTTAGGACCAAGAGCTGTGTTGGTTTCTTAGGTAGTTAGTTTTTGCTCCAGGGACCGCAGTTAGGCTCAGAGCCCAAAGCCCTAGCTCTGCTAACAGTAACTCTGTTCAAGGACCTTGCCTAGCTGAGCTTCATGCACACCAGATTCCTACAGATGTCAGCAGCACTTTTTTATTTGCCATTTGTTTTCCTGAAGTTTTTAAACCATGGGCTGAGCTCAGGCACTTTCTGTAAGAATGTTATTTCTGTAAAGTAATTTATCCCTCCATCCCCATCATGGTCTCCCTACTGAGGGTTGACCAAGAGGCCAACAGGGCTGCCCTGGTGGCACCCGCGGAGAGGCTGAGGCCTGCCAAGCTGCTGCTCCAGCCCTCCTGCCCTGCACAGCACAGAGGTGGTCACCCAGGACAGCCAGGCACCTGCCTGGGAGAGAGAGCTGCCTCTGTCCCTGTAACAGCTTTCCTCATGGCCCCACCTGGTCACCCAAACTTGTTTAAAAGTTGTGCTGACAGCTCCCTTTCCCCTTTTGGTATTCACAACAGCCAGGGACTTGATATTGATGTATTTTAAACCACATTAAATAAAGAGTCTGTTGCCTTACATGTTTCTGTTCTAATCTCATCTTTTTAGTTTGTTTCATTTTGCCTTTTTGAGACAGGGTCTCACTATGCAGTTCAGGCAGGCATTGAACTCCTGGCAATCTTCCTGCCTCAGCCTCCTGAATGCTGGGATTATAGGCATGGGCCACCATACCTAGCTCTGTGGCCTTTTGTTACTTCTGGATCCACTTGGTTCCCTCCATCATCGCTGACTTGTCTGAATCTGCTGCAAAGTGGCCTGGCTGTGCCCTAGCACCCTGTGTCTACTAGAGTGCCCCCCCTGCCTTCCAGCAGTCGCCACAAGCGCGGGGCACTGACAGATCTGCTTGTGCTGCCTTTGCCCTTGGTAAAGTTGGCAAGATGGCTGGGCATAGTGGTGCACGCCTATAATCCCAGCACTTGAGATGCTGAGGCAGGAGGATCGTGAGCTTGAGACCAGCCTGGACTACAAAGTAAGCCCAAGGCCAGCCTGAACTGCATAGCGAGACCCTGTCACAAAAAGACAAAAAGAAAAGAAATTGGCAAGATGCTCACATATGTAAGAGCATCAAAGATGATTCACTCAAATAATAGATAAATATTGCTGCTGGCTTTGAGGGACTGTCAGGCTAGGAAGAGGGAAAATATCCTTTTAAGCATAAGCCAACAGTGTACGCCTTCAAGTATAGAAAGGCCAGCAGTATAAAAAGGTGTGGAGGTGTATGCCTGTAGTTCTCAGCCTCTGGGAGCCTGAGGCAGGAGGATCACAAGTTAGTAGTCCAGCCTGGGCAACTCAGTGAAACTAAAATTTAAAAGGGACGGGGGGACATAACATCTAGGTTCAATCCCCAGTACCTTAAAAAAAAAACAGTGGTATGAGAATAGAGGAGGGCCCTGCCTTCAACAAGGGAGAGAGAAGTAGATGACTGGAAGGCCTGTTCACCTAAAAGGCAGGCAAAAATGTGTCAACTTCGTGTAATTAAACGGTTCACCTGGGAGTGCAGGTACACAGGAGAGGCAGAGGAGATGAGGCTGGGGACCTACAATTTGTACACCAAGTTAAGAAGTTCGAGCCAGATCAGCTCGGTGTGTTGGTGCATGCCTGTAATTCCAGTACTGAGTTCAAGTTCAGCCTGAACCATATAACAAGACCCTTCTGTCTCAGAAGAAAACAAAACTTTTGAGTCAGCTCTATTGGGCAAGGTGGACCCTCTGACCAACCCAAAAAATGAAGTATTTTCAAGTTCCTTTGCAGTTTTGTTGTGTTTTGTTTTTTGAGATGGGGTCTTCCTATGTAGTTCACACTGGCCTTGAACTCACTATGTAGCCTTGGCTGGCGTCACTCATAGTAGTCCTCCTGCCTCAGCCTCCTGAATGCTGGGATTACAGGAAGGAGTGCACCAACACGCTAACCTGGTTTTAAGTATCTCTTGACAAGACTGCGCTGTTAGTTCAAGTTTCTTACTCCTGTTACTGGGAATTAAGCTGAGCCTTTTTTATATGGGAGACAAACTACTGATGGTTTTGTCCAGCACCTTGTTCCCTCTGGGGCCCCAGTTACACACAAAAGATGGGACATGGTGAATGCCTAACAAATGCCAGAGGCAAGACCAGTGACTCATTCCACCCATGCAAGGTGTGCCCACCCATTACTTGGGATAGTCCGGCACAGCCTCTGCGCCTTCTAGCCAGGGTCTTGATGGATGTGCTGGCCACGCTGGTTCTAGTCAAAGATCCCCTGGAAGGGGTAAGGGGATGCTACCCCAACTCCTGAAACTTGCATGCAAAGCAACTCTGAGAATTAAGCTTCCTTTTGCCAGGGGAAGCAACTAAAGGTGGGAACCCCGGAGTTCTAGATCTGCCACTTTCCACAGGAGCCTTGGCTCCACTGTAGCAGCTCTGGTAGGGAAGGAGAGGGACTTCTCTGTTGTCCTCCCTCCCTTGAAAAGTCCTTGAATTAATGTCTGCCCTTCTCAACCATTGTGAAGGGTGGGAATACCTGGGAAAGAGCCTTGTGTTGATGGCTGCAGGAGCAATGCCACTCCCCAGCTCAGAGAGCCAGCCGGCTGGGACGTGCTCAAGCCCAGTAGAAGGGGGGTGGGGGTGCTCAGGGTGGCTGTATCCTTTGCCCTGGGACAGTTCATTTGAGCCTGCTGGGCGGCCTGGCCAAGAATGAGCCTCTCTTCTGTGACATCAGATGCTGCTCTGGGGACATGCGCTGGGAGCCTCTGTCTTTAAATAGCTGCTGCACAGATCGGACCTCCCATGCAGCACCGCTGCGCTGGGTCAGCCTCCTCCCTGGTACTCGGGTTTCCCTCCTGGTTGCTGGAGTCGGGTGCCAGGGGAATGCGGAGTTCTGTGTCTGACCTGGTGTTCCCCACACCTGTCTCTGCCTGGGAAGTGGGAAGGGGTCCTATTGCATCATTAGCAGCAGGATAGAGCACCACCACCTACCAGCTATGGGTGTCTGTGTGGCTGGGGACAATGGTATTGCCCTGGAATGACTTGACTTGCAGTAAAATGAAAATGACAACGATGCCTCAGGGTTTTTTTGTTTTTGTTTTGTACCAGAACTGAACTCAGGACCTTGTGTTTGCCAGGCAGGCGCTTGTGCCACTGAGCTACATCAGGTTTTTTTATGGGGATTAAAATTTACATGAAGTGCCTGGGGGGGCTGGAATGAATTAAGTGTATTATGTACATGTACCAACTCACCAGAATGACTGTAACCGTGTACTGCAGATGTACTAAGAATGAAAAATTAGTCACGCAGGAAAACTTTTTAAAAAGCCGGGGCTGGGGATTTAGCTCAGCGGCAAAGCGCCTGCCTGGCAAGCTCAAGGTCGTGAGTTCGGTTCCCGGTACCGGAGAAAAACAAAAAACAAACAAACAAACAAAAAGCCGAACACATGGTTGTCTTCCCTTGCCTCTTACATACTTGAACGTTCCTCTTCTCTCCTCGTCTCTCGCTCTCCCCTTCCCCTCCCCCCTCCCCTTCCCCTGACAAAGCCACCTCCATTTTATAAGGACCGTGCTTTCCCTCCCAAACTAACCGGGAAGGGAAAGAATGTTCTAAATCGTACCACACGTCCAACAGTCGCCTTAGTGAGAGAGGGTGAGTGAGGAGCAAGCGGAGCAGCCCCTCTCGATCTGTCCCCAGCCAAAGGCGGCCACTTTCTCTTTAAATGCAAATCACCTCCCTCCGGCTTAGGCTTAGCTGCCGCCCTTTCGAGTACCCGAGTACCGGGGAGGACAGCGAGGAAGGCCGAGGAATTTGCATCGAGGCTTCAGCATCACTCGGGACCCCAGACCTCCAGGTCAGTTGCCCCTGACGAAGCGCAGGCGGGAGGGGACCGGATGACGCGCTGTGACGCTGCTGCGTTTGGGAGATCCTTTCCACTCGCGCTTCGGGGGCTGAGCGTGGCAAACAGCTCCCTTCTTATTTCAGCTGCTCCTGGCGAGCTAGGGCTCTTGCTCCAATTCTCTCAAGCCCCCTTGCTGGGCCACACTGCTGCAGGGAGCGGCAAAGATGCGCCCCGTCTCCCTTCACCGCGGCGCTGAGCCATGCAATACCAGCCACCTCAGTGCCTGTCCTCACCGTCTCTGAGCCCGGGGTCAGGGTTGGTGGCAGCAATCTGAAGTAAGACCCCGGGGAGAGGACCCCAGCAGACCAGAGGCTTAGGTGGCAGGGCTGCACTGGAGCCAACTAAGCAGTGCCAGCCACGGGCGTGCAGCCATTGTTGGAGGCCCAGCCTGCCAGCTGCCTGACCACCCACCCCAGGGACTTTCTCACTGGCAAGAGGGAATGGCTAGGAGCTGTGCCAGGGAACTTCTGGGAGTCCCTGGCATCTGTAGTTCGGAGTAAAGTAGAAGAGAAACACAGGAGGAAAGGAGAGCCCTGCCCTGTGTAGCCGGGCTTCTCCTGCAAAAACTTACAGTGGGCACCGCTCCACGCTGAGACCTTCCGGAGCCCCCACTCTCACCTGGTTGTTACACCCACAGATGGGGCGGTGTGTGCCAATGAGACCCAGTGGAGACAACCTTCATCCTTACCTGGGGTCTTACCAGCTCATATCCACCCTGCTGCCCCTCCACTTCCTCTCCAGCCCCACCCCCTCAGCCACAGGGCCGGGAATCCCCGCGCACCAGGACAAGAGAGCCCCATCTGGTCTAGTGCTTTCAGCCAGAAAGACAAGGGCGGGCCCTGGAAAGGCCTTCATATGCTTGTCCATGCACCTAGCAGCCGGCACTGGCATCTGGCCCTGACATTTGCGAGAAGTGCAAAGGGCTCGTTGTGGTCCTTGGGGGTTGCTGGGTGAAGGGATGACTTAACCCCTATCTTAGTGGGATTGGTTCTTTCCCAGGCCTGAGGCTCAGCCAGCATCCAATGGATGATAAGAAGAAGAAAAGGAGTCCCAAGCCCTGCTTGGCTCAGCCAGCCCAGGCACCAAGCACACTTCGAAGGGTCCCGGTACCCACAAGCCACAGTGGCTCCTTGGCCCTGGGACTCCCTCATCTGCCATCCCCCAAGCAGCGGGCCAAGTTCAAGAGGTGTGTAAAGAGGGGAAGTTGGGCAAAAGGAGAGGGCCTCCAACTCCAGGCCGAGCCCTGTGGGGAAGGAGGCGAAGGGAGGGCCTACAGTTGCTAAGCAATATTGACGCCTTCCCTGGTGCTGGCCCCAACCGGCCCCTGTATGCTGAGATGACTCAGAGCCAGTGCATGCTGAAGGCCAAGGGGGTCACTGGGATTGAACAGTGCGAGGCTGAGCCTTGGAGGAGGAAGTGAGCAAACTGCCAGGAACTGAAAGCCAGAGGAAGCCACTGGGCACCCTAAAGAGGCAAGAATGTGCTAGGGTGGGAGACTTCCTGATGGCATAAAAACTAAAGAAAGACTTCACCGGAAGTTTCCAGGAACAACAGGTGGTTGGCGCCCTTGACATGTCAGTGAACAAGAAATAGTTGGAGGACATCTGGGTATACAATTTGAATTCTCTGCCGAATTTTTTTTAATGATTGGGAATTTGCATCCAACCCCATATGTCCATGCATGTTCCCACCCAGTACAATGTGGCTTTTCTCCCGCAGTTCAAAGTCTTTTCCTTTTTTTGGGGGGGGGGGAGCGGGGGGAGTTATTTCCAGTACCAGGAACCAACTCACGACCTTGCCCTTGCCAGGCAGGCACTGTGCCGCTGAACTAAATCCCCAGCCCCTAAAAGTCTTTTCCTAAATGTCCCCGTGTGGCTTTTTACACCACCTCTCTAAAGGCGTGATTGGAGACAGCCACAGGGGGGTGTAGCTGAAGCTTAGCTGGGGACGAGAACAGTAGGAAACATAGCTGGAAAGGAAGGAAGGCCACACCGGCAAGGACTTCTGTGTATCCTGAGGAAATGGAAAATTCAAAAGGTTTTAGAACAGAAACAGGAAGATGGGGGTGCGTGAGATAGCTTTGGTGGCAATAAAGGAGTAATTATCCCCAAGCTCACCGACGATCACGGAAGGCAAGTGACTCATTCAGAATCACAGGAGGATAAGTGGGGCTCTCAGAAACTCAAGAGCCCACCAGGCATGGTGGCCCACACTTGTAATCCCGGCATTTGGGAGGCTGAGGCAGGAGCCTCACCACCAAGTTCAAGGCTGGCCTGGGCTACATAGTGAACTCAAAGGCCACCCTGAACTACATAGCAAGACCCTGTACTCAAGAATTCTCTTGCAGGCATGGTTTTGGCTGTGTCATTAGTGGAAAGACTTCTTTTTACCTCTTACCTCTCCACTCCTCTCACTCACTCCCCTCCCTTTATCCACTGTGGTCCCCAGGGCAGGGCCAGAAGAACAAACATCAACTTGTGTTGTGGAGTAGATGGGCAGATGAATTAGTGTATAGACAGATGGTACAGGAGATCCGGGAGTGAGCCGGGCATGGTGGCACACGCCTGTAATCCCAGCACTCCGGAGGCTGAGGCAGGAGGATCATGGCAAGTTCAAGACCAGCCTGGGCTACAAAATGAGCTCAAGGCCAGCTTGAACTGCATGGCGAGAGCTTGTTTCAAAAAGAAAAAAAAAAACAAAAAGATCTGGGAGTGGCTGCCCTGCCACCCTGTGACCATGGTCACGTCCGTCCTATCCAGAGTAGGCAAGGAGAAATGTCGCCCAGTGCTGGCCGGAGGCGGGGGTGGCTCTGCAGGCACGCCCCTGCAGCACTCCTTCCTGACCGAGGTGACCGACGTCTATGAGATGGAGGGCGGCCTGCTGAATCTGCTCAATGATTTCCATTCCGGCAAGCTCCAGGCCTTTGGTGAGTCTCTGGGGCTGGGCAGAGAAGGGGTTGGGAGGGACTGGGTGTCCTGGTCTCTGGACCCCCTCCCAAGGCTCAGACAGACATTGTCCAGGGAAGGAATGCTCCTTCGAGCAGCTGGAGCACGTGCGAGAGATGCAAGAGAAGCTGGCCCGACTGCACTTCAGCCTGGATGTGTGTAGGGAGGAGGAGGACGAGGAAGAAGACGACAGAGTCACTGAGGGGCTGCCAGAGGAACAGAAAAAGACCATGGCCGACCGCAACCTGGACCAGCTGCTTAGCAACGTGGGTCATGAAGCTGGATGCTTTGGCTCCTGAGGGAACCTGGGGTGGGAGGAGATACATTTTCCCGAAGCCATTCTTGGCCTCTGCTGAAAAGGAGGGTGTGCATGCATTCAAAAGCTGTGAGCCCCTAGATCCGTACCAGCAGGCCCCCAGAGCACAGGGAGTTCAGTCTGGTCCCCCCACTGACAGAAACCTCCCTTTCTTTGACAGCTTGAAGATCTTAGTAATTCTATGTATCCTTTTGAAGGGCACCGACAGTGTGCCTGTGTTTCCGAGGACAAAGGGATGAGGGATGGGATGAGGTCAGTTTCTTCCTCCCTCCAGGGTACTCAGAAGCATCCCCACCCTCTGCAGTCTTTTTTCTGATTCAGAACTGTGCACAAACTGCCCCTACTGACCCAAGAGGGTAGAGGAATTTCACAAATATTTGGGGGCAGGTGGGTGCAAGGAACATGTTTTACCTGCTGATCAAAATCTAAAACAACCACAACCAAATCTAGTTGCACGTACTGTAGCTGACAGCAAACCCTGGCAAAGGTTATCTGATGTTCTCCTACCTTTTCAGCATTGAACACTGATTTTACTAATTTAAAGTAAATCCTCATCTACACCCTGTCACACACACAGCAACCACAGGTCCACTAGCTCATCTGACCCACATTCTCTGGATGAAAAGAGAAAGAGAGCACACAAGTAATCCCAGCACTTGGGAGGCTGAGGCAGGAGGATCTCCGTGAGTTCAAAGCCATCCTGCACTACATAGTGAGACCCTGCCAAGAAAGGAAAGAAAGGACAAAGAAAGAAAGAAAGAAACGAGAGGGCCAAGGGACTAGCAAGAAGGGCAGGCAGAGAAGACTGGGGGTGTAGCTCAGTGGTAGATCACAAATTTGGCTTGTCTGAGCCCCAAGGGCCCATCGAAGCACCACAGGCACAAAAAGAAGGGCGGGTGAGGATTGCAACGTCAGACTATGGACAGACTGGCACGGCCGGGGAAACTAAGCCTGTGCGGGATGGGAAGAGGTGTCAGGCAGGACTGGGATCTAAAGCTTCATCATCCTTGACTGGCACAGACAGAAACTGCACCTGGCGGAGAACGCTGAGCCTGAGGAGCAGTCAGCTGCGTAGGTGCTGGACGCAAGCCCAGAATGCCTCTCTCACTCCTTTCAAACTGTGACTTTTTTATGGACTCGGGAGCGTATTCCACAGCTCCCAGGTGCTATAGGGCGGGGGGCACTGGATGGAATTAAAAAAAAAAAAAAAAAAGAAAGCGGCTCCGTGTGCTCCTTCCCCTCCTTGCGTCTCTCCTCGAGACACCCTTGCGCAGCACAGTTGGTTTGGAGGCTCCGCTCGGGCAGGACTAGGACGCCCTCAGCTGCTCTGCGAGGAGTCTTTGGGGCAACGCGCCGCCCCGCGATGAAGAGTCTCACCCTTGCTAGAGGACGGTTGCCGTGGAGTCGGAGGGCGGGGTTCTGCGCCTGCGCAGCTCGGGAGGGGCGCCGCCTAATGACGCACTGCGCAGGCGCGCGACAGTTACCGGTTGGAGTCCGGATGGAGTCGGAACTTGTCCTTCAGAAGGTGTCAGCGCTGCAGGTTCGTTTTGGGGTGGGCGGTGCGCCTGGGGATCTTGGTCTGGGACCTTCCAGCAAGATGAGGCTGTCACGATCAGTCCCCTACCCGCGTGCCAGACACCGGAGGTGCCGGCCCACCCCACCATCCTGAAGAAAGGCGAGACCCGCGGACCTCCCTGAGCGCTCCTGCGGCGTCGGGGGTGGAGCAGGAAGGGCCGTAAGCCAGGGGGAGATGCAGCTCAGAATCCCCCTTAAACTCCCGGGGAGCGCCGGGCGTGGTGGCGCACGCCTGTAACCCCAGCACTGGGGAGGCCGAAGCAGGAGGATCACCGTGAGTTCGAGGCCAGCCTGGGCTACATAGTGAAACCCTGCCTTAAAAACAAAAACAGCCGGGCGTGGAGGCGCACACCTGTAATCCCAGCACTGGGGAGGCCGAAGCAGGAGGTCACAAGTTCGAGACCAGCCTGGGTTACAAAGTGAGCGCAAGGCCAGCCTGAACTGCATAGTGAGACCCTGTCTCAAAACAAAACAAAACACAAAAACAACACCTCCCGGAGCCTCAGCGCACAGTGTCGCTTGTCTTTTCCCTGTGGCCGTGTCCTCTCATGCAGCCCTAGGGATGACTGACCCAAGAGCGCCCTTAAAATGATTTTGGACTTCTTTCTACACTTCAGGCCTGTGTCCGGGGCTTCTTGGTCCGACGCCGATTTCAGAGCCTGCGAGCTGAGTACGAGTCGATTGTACAGGAGATCGAGGGAGACCTGGGCACGCTTCAGTGGAGTGCTGGCTGGATTCCCAGGCCCCAGTTTCCCCCAAAGGTATCACACAGCCCAGGGGGAGAAGGGACGGGAAGGACCTGGGCAGGAGATGCAGGGGAGTGGTAGAACCCACTCTTCCGACAACGACAAACCTCTGTCACTGGGAGAGGCAGTGCACTTGCCCCCTCACACCCCATTCCTTAATCCTACCAACTGTCCGCCGGACCAAGGTGCCCAGTTTGTAGAGGGCTTTAGCCGTAGGGCTCTCATACTTCTGTGCTTTCTCAGAAGGCAAAATCCCACTGTCCCTGGAAAGCAACAGAGAAAGTACCAGGTCCAGAGCAGGAGCTGCAGAGCCGCATCCCCTTTAAAGAGCCAGAGGAAAAGGCCATCTGGGAGGAGAAGGCACCTGCAGGAGAGACCTCAGCAAACCCAGGAAGGCTTTACAGAGAGGACAGCTCCTGGCTTCAGGTTGAGCACAGCAAAAAAAACAGGTACCCCAGCCAAGAGGAGACCGGAGACACATCAAGGACGGAGAACCCAGGTACCTCTCTGGCTAGATCATGACAAGCCCCTGACCCTCTGTGCACCTTAGGCTCCCCGTCTGAGATGTTAAAGGAATGTGCTAGATAAGCTGCGACCCCCTCCTGCTCTCTGCCTGGTTGGGAGAGACATGGGTGGGCAGCAAGGGGTCTCACTCTCAAAACATTCTCCTCTTCTTCCCTCCTCAAAGAGCCCACAAGCCCAGGACTGCCAAACAGCCATCAGCTCCAGGAGCTCCAGTACCACCGAAGCCACTTGGCCATGGAGCTGCTGTGGTTACAGCAGGCCATCAACAGCCGTAAGGAGGTAGGTGCTAACTGGGCGCTCTGGGGGGTGGGGCTTGGGGAGAGGCCTCCTTTTGTGCTCAGGCCTGCATCACGCAGTGTCTCTTCTCTCCCAACAGTATCTAATTCTCAAACACACACTGACGTCCCCAGAAGCAGGCCAGACCAGAGATGAGCCCAGCCTGTGCCCAGACCTTAGGGGACAGGCTTATGCAAAGGCATGGTCACAGCCACACCCACTGCTGGAAGACGGGACCACTGGAGAGCTAGACCTTCTGGATGACTCCTGTCAGAAGGGGAAGTCCCAACCCTGCAAGTCCCCAGAAAGTCTGGCCACTACTGACAAAACCAGTGCCAGGGCTAAAGGCAGGGAACCATGTCATAGGAAGGCTGGGCCACTGCTGCCTGTACCATCAGATAGCCAGGCTGGAGCGGACACGGGGACCAACGGGCCAGACCACAGAGGACAAACCTTCTTGCAGCAGATGAAACTTCCAGAGGATCAGACAACCCCATGTTTCAGAAAGGCCAGGACACAGCTGCCTGCACTCTGTGAGGACCCAGGTGCCGAGGACAGGTCTCCCAGAAAGCCAGGCCGCAAAGAGCCTGACTCGCAAACAGCCAGGCCATGCGAGATGCGCCTATCAGAGGACCACATGGTTTGGAACGGGATGTTGGGAGGCCCAGAGCCTGGTCAGCTGGATCTCAGGACTAAATCACCCAAGGCACAGACACCCAGTGATAGAGGTTCCAGAGACACAGTGTCCGGTGAGCCTAGTCACAAAGAATGGAAAAACCATAGGCCTGCACTGTGGAGACCAAGGCTGCCTGAGAGTCTGTCTTCTACAGGATTAGAGGAGACAAGGGAGGACCAGAGGAGGGGCAGAACATTGAAAACAGGACCCCCAGGCTAGACCCTGGGAACACAGGCAAGGAACAGGTTCTAAGGGGGACACTGTGAAGGGTAGTGGAACAGGCAAGCCCTCATCCTGGTACCAGCTCTCCCTCCTGCCTTCACCCCCAGCCAGTGGTGGCTGGTGGGGCCAGAAGAGGCTGGAGTAGAGTTGGTATGTGTAGAGGGCAAAGGACAAAGGATACCCTTTCATCATCTGCCTGTGGCTCATCCAAATTTCAGGTTAAGCAGTTACCTGGGGAAGTAAAGTGGTTGGGGAATAAAGGTTTTTCTTGGATTCTGAACCTGGCTGCTTTCATGTCCTGTCTCTGGGTGCCCATTCACTTCCTACTAGCATGGGGCATCATCCTCATGGCTGAGAAGCAGATTCAGCCATCTTTCATGGTTTTTTTTTTTGGTCTTTTTGAGGCAGGATCTCACTACGCAGTTCAGGCTGGCTTTGAGCTCCCTCCGTAGCCCAGGCTGGTCTTGAACTTGCAAAGATCCTTCTCCCTCAGCCTCCCAAGTGCTTGGACTACAGGCATGCGCCACCATGCCCAGCTCAGCCATCTTTCATAGGGAATAAACCCCAAGCACCATCTCCCCTTGAGCTCAAACTATTGGGGTTCAGAGTGATTAAGGCTCCAGAGTGTACCAAGACATCTGTGTTTAAATGGGATCCCTGCATGGTGGTAATCCCAGCACTCAGGAGGCTGAGGCAGGAGGATCACTGAGAGTTCAAACCCAGCCTGGACTACGTTATATAGCAAGACCCTGTCTCAAAAAAAAACGAAAACAAAAAAACCTTTATAAATGGGATCCCTGTGCCAAGGCATGGTGTTGTATAACTGTAATCCCAGCACTTGGGAGGCTGAGGCTGAACAATCACTTCAAGTTTGAGGCCAGCCTGCACTACAGTGAGACCTTGCCTCAAAAAATAAGACAAGAGAGCCATAGCTCAGGGGCATAAGTACCTGCCAGGCAGGCACAAGGTCCTGAATTCAATTCTCGGTACCAAAACAAACAAAACCAAGTTCAGTGAGTTCAGACTACCTTAACTAATGATGAGCCCTTGAGTTCACAAATAAAAAGGATCTCTGCTGTTTCCTCTCATTGAGCTACCAGAGGCTCTTCCTGCCTTCCTGGGTGAGAGAGCAGGACTCCACCTCTGGCATGGCTCCCAGCCTGGCCTGAAGTTGCCTGGCAACAGTTTCGCGTCTCTGACTGAGGACACACGATGGCAGGTGGCAGTCCAACAGCCAAGAGGGTAGTGGTGTACCGGAATGGAGACCCCTTCTCCCCAGGCCGCCGGCTGGTGGTAACCCAACAGCGTTTCCCCACCATGGAGGCCTTCCTTCATGAGGTGACCTCAGCTGTGCAGGCCCCACTGGCCATACGTGCCCTCTACACGCCTTGTGACGGCCACCCTGTCACTGACTTGGCAGACCTGCAGAATGGAGGGCAGTATGTGGCCGCTGGCTTTGAACCATTCCACAAGCTCCAGTGAGTCGGGTGGGGCTGCTCAAAGAGCCTAGGAAGGGGCGAAGAGGAGGGGAAGGAGCAGCAGCAATAGTGTCTCCCGTACTTACTGTGCAAATGCCAAGCTTCATACATAGTCTCTCCTAACCTGGGGCTGGGTTCATGCCTACTAGTTGGAAGGGGGAATTGTGAAAACCTGCCTGTACTTGAGGAACAGACAGTTGAGCTGCAATTCAGATTGAATTTTTTTTTAGACAAGGTCTTTCAGTGTAGTTCAGGCCAGCCTTGAACTCACTGTGTAGCCCAGGCTGGCCCTGAACTGGCAGTGATCCTCCTGCCTCAGCCTCCCTCATGCTGGAATTATGGGCATGTGCCACCAGGCCCAGCTCGGATTGAATCCTGCCTGGTACTAACACTTAAACTCATCACAGCCAGTAGCTGCCTGTGAGAAGGAAGCCATTCTGCAGGTGGAACTTCTTCCCAAAATCTTTTCTTGATTAATCCCCTACCACCACCACCACCAGTCTTGCTGTCTGTCCCTTCCCTTTCTTTGTTTAGGCATCCCCAACTGTCCTGTCAAACTAGGACAGTCTCCTCTACACGGTGGGGCTGTCTGCCCAGGTGGGAGGGGTCGGGGTAACTGAGCTTCCAACTCAGATCTGGCATCCAAGGCCTATGGGAGCTTTCAGCTAAGGTTGCCACTGTGATGTTAAGAGCAGGGCTCAGGAGCTAGACAGACTTGGACAAGATGGAGACTCTTGGCAAAGAGTAGGTGGAAACAAAACCACCTACTTTTGGGGGAGTTGGCTCAGTGGCAGAGCACTTGTCTGGCATGTATGAGCCCCTTAGTTCAATCTCTAGTACTGCCCGCCCCATCAAAACCACCTATCTAATGAATGAGAAAAATTCCCATGATACAGGACACTAATGTACTCATTTCTCTCAACCCTATCTCTGAGGGTCCAGTCCTGCTTCCAGCCAGACTTGGCAGTTGAGGGGGCCCAAGGCAGGTTCAAGTGCTAGCATCTGTTTCGGGAGTGGGAAGCCTGAAGGGCACTTCCAGTGGGGAGGGATGCACAGTAAACTCCACACTTTGGCAGCTGGTGGGCTGCTGGTGTCTCAGGCTTCCCATGGTGACCTGTGGCCTGTCTGTCTTTTCAGCTATTTACCCCCTGGAGGGAAGGATCCAGGTGGGAAGAACACCAGACTGAAAGTGAGTCCGGGGAAGTTGTCCCCAGCCTTTCTGACCTCCAGCTCTTCCGGGGGCTGCTCCAACGTGGTCTGGGAAGTCAGAGGCCCTGGAAGCAGCCAGAGCTGCCAGTTTCATGGAGCACGCCCACCCAAGCCTCCTGCTATGCTTCCTGGGTTGGGAATTCAAGACACTGTCCCTTGCTCCTGTGGTAGCCTTTCACTTCCTCTCCAGGCTTGGTCCCCAAAGGAGAGGAAGTTGTGACACACATGGTGGAAGGGGTGGTTAGATAGTGACTTCACAGCCCCTGGTGGCCGGTCTCATCCCTCCTTGCCCCTTTTCCCGCCCAGGTCTGGCTCCTGCCTGCTCACCCCACACTCTATAAACTGACCCTCCCCTAGCCAAAGGCTTAGCTCTCGCCTGATTTGAGGGCCTGACTTGGGTTGCAGGACTCTTCCGGGACTCACCACCAGTGTGATGGGGCCGCTGGACGGTGGCTGCCTCCAGGTGCCCCCTGCTATATCCAGTGAGTGCCGGTGTTGGGGAGCAGGGGTACGGATTTCTGCTTCAGCGAGAAAGGAAGTGGGGTTTGTCCCAGGCTGTGGGTGGGGAGATAAGCGCAACATGCTTGATGGGTGAAAATGGACCAGCACGTTGATTCTTGGGCCACCCTTCCTCTCACACTTGGGGTACCCTGGAGACCCTCCTTACCAGCTTGCTCTTTGTCTTAGTGTGTTTAGGAATGGGGACCTGCGGAGTCCCCCGTTCAGTCTGAAGCTGTCCCAGGCTGCCGTCCAGGACTGGGAAACCATGCTGAAGCTCCTGACTGAGAAAGCCAAGTTGCAGAGCGGGGCTGTGCGCAAGTGAGTGTAGGAACTGGACGGGCCCCGAAGTTCCTCAAGAGGCTCCCACTGGTGCCAGCTGTTCACGAAGGTGGACACAGGAGAGACTGTCCCTCCAGGGAGACTTCTGCCTGTGCCACAGGGAGAGGCCTCTCTGGTCTAGCCCTCTGAGCTAGGGCAGAACCTGGGTGACTGGTACCCAGAGAGCCCGAGGCCAGGGGTGCCTTGGAGTAGCAGTGCCCACCTTCCACGGCCTGCTGAGTAGGAAGAACCATCTTGTCCACCCACCCTTATCTACTGCACCTTTCCCCAGACTCTGCACCCTGGAGGGGCTCCCACTGTCCGCAGGAGAGGCTCTGGTGAGTGGCCATTACTATGTGGCTGTTGGAGAGGACGACTTCAAAGCCCTCCCCTATCTGGAGCTGTTGGTGCCCAGCCCCGCCCTGCCCAGGGGCTGCTGGTATGTATGTGGAAGGCGCAGGGTCACGGGTTGGGGCAGCAGACGGAGCCAGCCTCTAGTCTGCATGCCCAGACGCCCCGTCATCCTCTGCGCATACAAGCCTCTCCTCCCATTCTAGGTACCCCCCAGACCGGAAGTGCAGACTGCAAAGGCAGCAGGTAGGTGATGCAGGGGGCCGTGGGGGTGGGAAGGCGGAGGAACAACTGGCTAAGAATCCTGATGGCCTGGGCTCCAGCCTGACCTCTGCATCCGCTCAACAGTCTTGTGAAACACAGATGATCCCCATTTTCCACAAGTGGAAATTGAAGCTCAAAAGAGTAAAGTGATTTGTTTAGGGTGACATGGGTATTGACACAGGTATTGAGTGCCACAGGCCGGACCAGAATTGTGACTGTCAGGATGGAGCTAGAGCCTAATGCCCACCGGGATACTTGGCATCACAGTGCCCAAGCTGTCTCCCACTTGCTTACTGTCCTCTTCCAGGCCTGAAGGGCGGGGGAGTGTGGGTCAGTGGTAGAGCACTTGCTGGTCTAACATGTGGGAGGGGTTCATTTAATTCCCAGTGCCAAAACAAACACAGGTTAGGCGAGGTGGCACCTGCCTGTAATCCCAGGTTACTCAGGAGGCTGAGGCAGAAGAATGGGCAATTTAGCAAGACCCTGTCTCAAACTAAAAAATAAAAATAAAAGGGATAGGGATGTGCTCAGTGTGAAGGACCTGGGTTCAATCCCCAATATCACACACATCAAAAAACAAACAAGGGGGCTGGGGATTTAGCTCAGCAGCAAAGCACCTGCCTGGCAAGTGTAAGTTTGTGAGTTCAATTCCTGGTACCGGAAGAAAAGACAAAAACAAACAAACAAACAAACAAATAACCAGACCTGAGCACTCCTGGCCTCCCAGCAGATGAGCCAGTGAAAATAGGGCACTGGGGTGGGTGGGGGCCAGAGAGTGGCTTCATTGGCATCTCCAAGAGCGGGGCACCAGTTATTCTGTCCCTGGGCAGACGGTCTGACTGGGAGTAGGGAGCAGGGAGAGAGGACACAGACCATGGAGATGAATGGTGCTGCCTCTCCTAAGCTCCTGCAGGCGTGGGGCACTAGGCAGTGGGGCAGGGGTGAAGAGCCGGCAGCTGTGGTCTGAGCCCAGTCTCTCCTGCAGGCCCAGGGCCAGGAGGCACAGGCAAGCTGGCCCCCTCCGCAGGGGCCAGGACAGGCTGAGTCTGCTGCCCTCTGTGCCAGACCCCGTCAGGCCACTCAGCCAAGAAGCAAGCTTCCCTGTCTGCCATTTCCAGCAGGTGAGGGGCTTGAGCCAGGGCCTCTCAGCTGCCACCTTTCCTGCGTATGTACTGGGCACGGAACCCAGGGCCTTGTGCATGCTAGGCAAGTGCTCCGCCTCAGCCGCCCTTTGGCAATGAGCTACGATGATCACGGTCAGTGGGGAGGCTTGCAGAGGCAGAGTGCCCGGGCAGAATGCTGGCTCTGACCTCAGCAGAGCTGTCTCCCGCTCGCGTGTGCACGTCCAGTCCCTTGCTGCTTCCTATGGACTTGTCATGTGGAAAGGGCAAGGCTTATCTCAAAGGGATGGGGCTTCGGGGGTGGAATTCACTCAGCTGCCGTCCGATGAGGTGGTGGGAATGCAGAACAAGGCTGCGGGAGGGCGGGGGGCTGCCAGAGAAAGTCAGTGGAAGAAGGCTGACGGCTCCTCAGCTTGGGCATCCACATCAGTCAGCGTTGCCTCCCTCAGCAGGAGTTAAGGGTGTATACAGGGCTCCCCATCCAAGGAGGGAGATGGCAGGAGCCCAGGAAGTAGCAGACAGTGAAGACACCTGGACAGAAGAGCCCTTAAATCAGGTAAAGTGTTGGCTCAGGAAGCCATACTTATAACGGGAAGAGTTCTGAGCCAGAGAGAAACTGGCAGTCCCCAGGAACAGGGTCCTGTCCCACCCTTCTACCCCCCATGCTGTGACTGATCATAAGCAGATCTAACAGCTCAGAGCCCAGCTTGCTGCCTCGTTCAGTGAGGGAGCAGTTCCCCATTTATCAGTCTGCTGGGGCGGCAGGACGGACATACTCACGGCTCCTCCCTCTGTGCTTCTCCACTTCTTCCAGAGGGCAGCCCGGGCAGCAGAAGGCGCCCTGCCCTCAGAACACCAGTGCGAGGCTGGAGCTAGGGCTGCATCCTCAGCCTCAACCTCTGCTCCACCACTTGAGAGCCAAAAGCTCCAGACAGGAACCGGAGATACCACTAGGTAACCACCTTGTCCTCAGCCTCCAGCAGCCTGTTCTGAGGAGCCATGCCTTCCCTGGGCTCCTGGGGAATGTGGGCACCTCAGCTCCGCTCGTTCTTCTGCTCCGAAGCCCGCAGCCCGGACTTCCCTTCCTCTCCGCGAAGAGGAGCCCTCGCTGTGCGGGCTATTTCCTGTGGGATTCTCTAGCCATAGAAAGTAGTTGACTGAGCTCGGCAGAGTGGCCCCAAATGTGATACTGGGTTTGTCAAAATAAAAACACACCTACTAACCTCAGTCTGTTTAGTGCAGATTTATTGAAGGCTGCTACCGGCCAGAGGTTGCACTGGTGCCGCTTCAGGACCTGGTACTGGGCTCACAGTCTGAGAGGGGTTGACAGTTGAGCATCTTCACCTACCTCAAGGGGGACAGGCCGCTCATTTCTCCTACCTGCCATTCTGATGCACTGTCTCGCCCTCTGTCAGTCAAGGTACTCTGACCGGGCCCTGGAGGTCTCTGGGTCTCACTTCTGACACAGAGACGGCAGCTGGCCCTTTCCACGCAGGTGGGCTCTGCACTCCATGGAACCTGCCACAGTGAGAGTGTGGAGCAGGCCAGGTTAGCAGCCGCTGCTGAGAGCTAGTGTAAAGTCTCCCGGGCTAATGCCCAGCAACTGAACACGGAGTGAAGGTCACAAAACCCCGTCTCTGCTCCTCTCTTGCTGTGATCCATGAGGTAGCCGTTATCTCCAGATGAGAAGAGGAGGCTGGGGCTCAGAGCAAGAGCTGGTCCACGTGCTCACTGTCCGCGCCTCATGGCCAGGGCTTCCTGGAGACAGCAGGGGCGGGGGTGGGATCGGTCCATTCAAAAGGTTGATGGTGGCCCCTGGGTTTTGCTCACTGAGCTCGTGATGCACAGTGTAATTCCTGTCACGGTGAGCACCATGCCAGCAGCTGCTCCTGGGAGAACGGGTGGGCAGATACCAAGGGGCTTTGAGCCCAGCCATGCCAGTGGGCAGGAGGAGCTGGTACAGGGCCACAGGAAGGATTGGATGGGGCCTGGCCCTGATTCTCACCCCCAGCCTCTGTCCCCAGACTTCCACCCATGGGAGGTGAAGGATTCTGGGAAAGAATTAACTCAGGCAAGTTGAGACCCAAGCAGCTGCTTCCTGCATTCACAGTAGCTTGACTTACGTTTTCCACCAACATCTTCTCCAAGGAGCTTCCCAACAATCAATGTGAAGACAATGGCCAGAGAGTTGCAGATGGGCACAGCCAGAGTCAGATCTGGTGGTCAGAATGAGAAGAACTCTCAGATGCAAAAAATGCCTTTCTAGGCACAAAATATTTTCACTTCATCCCATCATTTCATCTCTTCAGAAAGTGTCATGACCCCATTTTCCAGATGTGACAGCAAAGCTCAGGACTGAACCCCATGTCTCCTAACTCAAGTTCAGTGCTTCCACAGGATTCTAGCAGAGATCTCTTCCTTAGTTCTGAAGCTCCAAAGAGCTGATTTTCAATAAGCAAACTAAAAGAAATGGGCCAACGGGAATAACAACACAGTATGGGGGTGGGGCGGATGAATTAAAAAAAAAAAAGAACAGAATTGTATTCTTTGTCAGAGCCGGGTATGCAGTGGACATAGTGGACGTAGTGGTGCACAACTGTAATCCTAGGACTCCGGAGGCTGAGACAGGACTGCTGTGAATTCGAGGCTACCCTGGACTACAAAGTGAGTTCAAGGCCAGTCTGAATTACATAGTAAGACCCTATATCAAAAAAAAAAAAAAACGAAAACCAGCCAGGTACCAGGTATGGTGGCACATGCCTGTAATCTCAGAACTCTGGGGGGCTGAGGCAGGAGGATCAGAAGTTTGAGCCCAGTCAAGGAAATTTAGCTAGACCTTGTCTCAAATAAAAAATTTAATATTAGGCTAAGGGTGTAGCTGAGTGCAAAGGTCCTGGGTTCATTCAATACCCAGTACTGCAAGAAAAAAAAAAAAAAGCTACTTGGATTTTGGGTTTTGGGGGGGCAGGTTTGAGACGAGTCTCACTATGCAGTTTAGGCTGGCCTTGAGCTCACTTTGTACCCCAGGTTGGCCTCGAACTTGCAATGATCCTCTTGCCTCAGCCTCCTGAGTGCTGGGATTACAGGTGTGCGCCACCATGCCTAGCTGCTATTTGTAATGAGACGCATAACTACAGGCAGACTGACATGCTCTCAAGCCTCACCTGCTAGGGTAGAGGAGGAGGAAGTGGTCCTGTTCTTTATTTCCTGTGATGCTCCAGCACGGCTGCCGTTACCCATCCAAAACAATGACACAACACTCCTACCTACTCAGAGCAGTTTTCCTGACTTCATACCTCATGCGGAATGTCATGGCTGCTAAGGACTGCTTTGCAACAGCAGATGAGGGAGCAAGAAGCATGGCGATTTGGAAGAGCAGAGCATTGCTCTCCCTGTGTAATTGTGGTTAAATCATTCAAACCCACTGAGCCTGTTCTGTCCCACATAAAACAGTGATAGCAACCTACCGCCTCCTTTGTAGGGCTGTTGTGAGGTGAATTATGAGAACGTATATTATTTTTTCTTGCAGTATTGGGTACTGAATGAACCCAGGACCTATGTATATACATAGTCTTTGGGTGAAGAAGATACTTAATAAAATAAATACTGTTTTATTAGAGAAGAGGGATATTACAGGATAGAGACAGAGTAGATGACGACAGGATCCAAACACTGCAATTTTCTCAAAACTTGGTAAATAACTAGCTACAGTGAATTCATTAGGCCAGAGACTTTCAAACTTTTTTGGGGGGGTACTGCAAATTGAACTTAGGACCTCAGGCTTGCCAGGCAGGCACTGTGCCAGTGAGCTATATCCCTGGCCCTTTTTTTTTTGAGACCAGGTCTCACTAAGGAGCCTAGGCTGGCCTCGAACTCCTAGTGATCCTCCTCCCTCAGCCTCGGAATGCTGGAATTACAGGCATGTGCCACCATGCATTTTTTGGTTTTCTGAGACAGGGTCTTACTCTGTAGCCCAGATTGGCCTCAAAGTCACGGCCATCCTCCTGCCTCAGACTCCCATGAGCTGGGATCACAGGCATGTGTCACCATGCCCAGCTTCAAACTTCTTTTCTTATCATACTGAGGGTTGATCCCAGAGCCTCTTACATGCCAGGCACTGAGCTGCACCTTCAGCCCTTTCTTTTTTTATTTAAGGAGGATCTCACTAAGTCTCTAGGCTGGCCTCAAACTCTGGATTCTCCTGCCTTGGCCTGCTGAATAGCTGGGATTACAGGCATATGTCACCACACCCAGCTTCAAATTCTTTATAGTCTTATGAGAAGCCCCAAATATAAATACTATGAAAGCAGACAGACTCTAGCTGAAACTAAGGTGGCAGGTCTGGAAGCCATCTTGTCCCCTTTCCTTCCAGTGGCTTCTGAGGTGTTCCTCAGAGCTATTTGGAGCCCAAACTTCCATCAAGTCTCCTGAAGGTCTTGATTCCAGGGAAGGCAAAATCAGTAGGGGAACTTTCATAGTAAAGTTTCAGCACATAAACTTGCTTTGGTATTTCATTTCATTTTATTTTGAGGCAGGGTCTCACTATGTTGTCCAGGGTGGCCTCAAACTGGCAGGGACCCTCCTGTCTCAGCTGGATTACAGGTGTGTACCACCATGACCAGCTCAAGGGCATAAACTAAAAAAATCCTTTTGCACTGACTAAAGAGAGGTAAAGTTTTCAAAGTTTATTTCCTCTGTGTGTGTGTGTGTGTGTGTGTGTGTTGTGTGTGTGTGTGTTACTGGGGACTGAACGCAGGATCTTCACACTGAGCTACATCCCAACCCTTTTTATTCTTTGAGTCAGGATCTTACTAAATTGCATGTTGCCCAGGCTGGGCTCCAACTTGCAATCCTTCTGCTTCAGCCTCCAGAGCGCTGGGGTTATAGGCCTCTGGACCTGTAACTTCATCTCCTAAATAAAGATAATCATCTGTGCTTCCCAGGGTCAGGATGGGAATTGAAATGTGTAACACTAGCACAGTACCTGATGCAGCTGAGGACAGTCAATAAACACGGGGAGAAAAAAATGTGGGGAGAAAGGAAATTTATTGAATTCCTACCCTGGACCAGGAATCCCACTAGATGCTTCTCATATATTGAATTTAATCTTTACAATGCTACAAAACTGACTGTATAAACCAAGGTTCAAAGAATAGGACTGCTCTAGGTCAGGCAGGTAGCACACAGTGTAAGCTAAAGTATCAAAGCCAACACTCTGTGCAGTGAAATGAGTCTCTGCTGCTGCACAAGACTGCCAGGCTCCAGGCCAGCCTGGCATCAGACTCATAACCCGCCCAGCACGCCCTTGTGACTCAGAAAATAAGGTACAGAGAAGGAGCCAAGGCTGTGATCAGTGGGAGAGTGCTCTGTAGTGTGGACAAGAACCTAGGCTTAATCCTCAGCATGGAAAACAAAACAAAGCACAAAGAGGGAACCAGAAACAGGGGCACAGGTGCTCTTTCAGTCTTTTTGAGACAGGGTCTCGCTATGCAGTTCAGGCTGGCCTTGAGCTCACTTTGTAACCCATGCTGGTCTTGAACTCACATGATCCTCCTGCCTCGGCCTCCCAAGTGCTGGGACTACAGGCATGCGCCACCACGCCTGGCCTTTCTTTCCTACTGATAGAAACAAGGTGTTTCAGGCTTCCTCTCCAAAATGAGAGCAGCTTAAAGCAAGAGACCCACCTGTGGATGCCAAGGTGAGGTAGTAGAGAAGGGAGCCACACTGGTTGAGCAGAAAGGGCATCAGGTACTGGAAACGGGAGAAATCCAGGTCAATGTGATTGCTTGACTGAGCCCGCTGCCTTCTCTGAGCTTCAGGCATATGCCTTCTTTGGAGGGAGCAACAGTTATAAGTGCCCAGGGAACATTAAGCCCTCTGAGGAGGATCCTTCCAGGGCAAAGAGAAAGACTGAAGACCACACCTTTGCTTGAAACACCCTCTCCCTCAACTCAGCTAGTTCCCATCCTTCCCATTCTATAAAGCCTTGAATGCCAATGTCACCTCTCCTAGAAGCCCACCCTAAATCCCCCAACTCCAGCTTGCTCTGCTGAACTCACACAGCACTTATCTGTCCCTCTTTCCTTGCCTTTAAACTTGAGAGTAGCTGCATCCATGCCTGGCCTTTCTCACAGCCTCAACTGGTGCCTGAAAGGCAGTTGTCTTCCTCTGCAAAGGCCCTGAGTACAGTAGTTACCTTATATAACTGGAGGAATCGCAATACTAAAGTATTCAGAGCAGCCAAAATGGAGACTATGACGAACCAGTGATCCAGGCCCAACGGTAAGTGCTTTATGTGCCTCCCTACACTTCATTCTTATAACTGCCTTCTTCTTCTTCTTGGAGACACAGTTTCGCTATGTAGTTCAGGCTGGCCTTGAGCTCACCATCAGCCAGGGTGGCCTCAAACTCTAACGGACCCTCCTGCCTCAGCCTCCCGAGTGCTGGTTCAGGCGCAATGCCACCATGCCTGACTCTTCATAAATGCCTTTTAAGAGTTATCACTATAATTGCCATTTACAGATGATGAAACCAAGGTATCCAGAGGATTAATATCTCATTGCGCCAAGAGCTTTTAGTAAGTTCTGAGCCAAACCTATTTGACTCCAGAGAATAACTGCTTAGCGGCTACTCCTCTGAGGGACGCCGTTCACAGACCCACCTCAGTATTCAAGAAAAGGGTCTTCATCTCCTGCAGCAACTGTCGCGCCCAGTTCCGCTCCTGCACCTCCTGCAGGCCGGCCGAGGCCCGCTTCAGCAGCGGCTGCGTGCCACCCCACAAGGCGGCTACCAGCACCAGGGCCAGCACTTGCCCTGAATGCAGAGATGGAGATTCCAGTCATCCGGACCCCCACCCGCAAACGGCCTCCCACCCACCCAGCCTCGCCCTCCTCTAGCCCCAACTAGCCGCCCGCTCTCCGATTGACGCCGCGGCCGCCCTCGGTGGGGTGGGCAGGCCCAGGGCGGTTGGGGAGATGAATCCAAGAGCCCCGGTTTTGGGGCGAGGAGGGGCAGTAGGAAATGAACTCGGGGTGGGGCGGGGCCGGCTACCCACCCAGAGAGGCCGCCATGGCAACACCGCGCTCTTCCACTTCCGGAAACGAGGGGGCGGGACCTATGACCCGGAAGTGGCCTGCAAGCCTTTTCCGGTTCCACTCACGTTGCCGCTCTTCTCGCGTCAGCGCCGCGATGGTGAGTTCCAGAGTCGCGGGTATTCCGGTAGGGGTCCCGGGACGCGGCGGGGGCCCAGTTCCGGACACTGACACTCCGTCCTGTCCCCACAGAAGCCGATACTGCTGCAGGGCCATGAGCGGTCCATCACGCAGATTAAGTATAACCGCGAGGGAGACCTCCTCTTCACCGTGGCCAAAGACCCTGTGAGCGTGGGCGCGAGGGCCGGCGGGACGGCCGCCGGCGGCGCGGGGAGGGCGCTGCGTTCCCCGGGACGCGGGGTGGTTCAGGCCGGGTTTGCCCGCTGCCGGGACGCTAAGGACGCCTCAGCTTGAAAAGTTGGGAAAAGCAATCCGCGAGCGCACTCTATCCAGGAAAGGAGGGAAGTACGTCGATGTTTGGTAGGAAGGAATAGCCGGGGAGAAGCCAAAGGAGACGGCTGTGGAAGCGGGCTAGGCGCCAGGTCGGCCTTTTCGGGTGACGAAGGCCGGTTCCTGAGAACTGAACCGTTCTGCCGCGGTAGGAGAACAGGCCGCTCGCACGGCAGAGCTGACCCATGGGGCCCCAGACTGTGCCGTTAGGACCCAGGGGACAGGCTGGAGGTGTGGCCCAGAGGTGGAGCTTGCGCTTAGCGAGCTTGAGGCCCTGGGTTCAATCCCCAGCATCAGAAAGACAGGGAAAAGCCACAGAGGACTTCATGAGGGGCTGCCTGGTCTCAGGGCAGCCTGCCATCCTGTCGGAAGCGCAGGGTGGCGCCTGCGTCTGGTACCTGTTAACTCGTGTCTAACAGTGAGGACTTGAAATCAGACTTGATTCGATTCCAGACTCCTGCGTCCGCTAGTCATGTGACTTGGAGCATGCCATTTAACCTTCTTAGTTCCTAGCTTATAGAGCCATGGGTACTTAAAGTACCCACCCAGGAGGGTAATATAATACCTCCCTTAATAAGATGAGATGATTTTTGTAAGGAGCTTAGCACAGTGTCTGCTGCAAGGGATGCCTAAAGTCACTTCTTTTTAGATTCCTTAGATATAATTTTGTTGGTGCCTCACAGCTCCCCCTTGAAGAAGGGCTTACTGTCTTGGCCATTTTTGTTGTTATGACAGTGCTAGGGATTGAACCTCAGGCCTCACACATGCCAGGCAAGTGCCCTACCTCTGAGCTACATCCCAGGTGTGCTGTCCATTTTAAAAATGAGGAAGCTGCTGGATGTGGTGGTGCACACCTGTAATGCCAGTGTCTGGGAAGCTGAAGCAGAATTGTCGAGAGTTCAGAGCCACCCAGGGCTACATAGTTAGCTCAAGGCCAGCCTGAATACATCTCAAAAAAACAAAACAAGCTGGCTGTGGTGGTACACACCTGTAATCCCAGCACTGGGGAGGCTGAGGCAGGTGGATTGTTGTGAGTTCGAGGCCAGCCTGGGCTACACAGTGAGCTCAAGGCCGGCCTGAACTGCATAGCGAGACCCTGTCTCAAAATGACAAAAAAAGAGAACAACCCATACAGATGGTAAAGCTGAAGTTCAGAGGGGAGAGGTTAGGGTTAGGGTTAGCTGAGATCATTCAGTGAGCTAGCGACAGCAGGTGCAGGAACCCAGGCTTCCCTACTACCAGTTGGTCTCACTTGGGTAGGACAAAAATGCCACTAATTTTCTGGGCTGGAGAATAACTTGACCTTTTATTCTTCTGATAGATTGAGTGAGGGAAGGGTTAGGCTGATGAGTAAGGATGCCTTTGCAAGCCTGATTCCCCTGCTACTTACCTTGAAGAAGGGAGGAGAATCCAGTAGCTGATCTTTTCATCAGCTCTCCTGCCCACTTCATGAGCAGGAAAGAGCAGGATTAGCTTGGCTAGAGATTGCAGAGGGTTCCTAGGACAAACTAGGAGGTCACTGTTCTTCCTGGGATGTAAACTGTCCTGTCATTTGACTCTGTAGATTGTTAATGTATGGTACTCTGTGAATGGTGAGAGGCTGGGCACATACATGGGCCATACTGGAGCTGTGTGGTGTGTAGACGCTGACTGTATCCTTGTTTTTGCTGAGTCTATGCTGTAGCGTCTGCCAGCTATGGAGATGTGGAGTTGGAGGTTGGGAGTTTGGGATGCTATTGTGGGTCTGGAAAATAATACCACCTTGTACTCTCAGTTTCTTTACTGACTGGGGGAACATTCAGGACAAGTTCCAGTTCTGGATGAGGAGTGTAAAATGCTCTGAGACCAGGGAGAGGAAGGAAGGTCTTTGGGGCTGGATTGGGAGATGATCTGGTTGGCCTCCCAAGAGCATAAGGGTTCAGGTGAACTTTGTCATATTCCTTAATACCCTCTCCAGGGGACACCAAGCATGTCCTCACTGGCTCAGCTGACAACAGCTGTCGTCTGTGGGACTGTGAAACAGGTAAGCCTAGGTCATTTTTTAGCAAAAACTTGACTGCCTACAGTATACCTGTCTAAGCAAACAGGTTCTGGGAAGTTGGAGATAAATCCAGAGATGGTGCCCGCTCCAGAGAATCTGAGACAATAAGGAAAGTCAATGAGTTAAGAAGCGTTACAGTAGGATAATAAGCATGGAGTCCCATGGAAGGCCAGAACTGGGCAACTGCTTGCCTGGGAAGGGGTGGAAGCAGCCCAGGATGATTTCCCAAGGCAAGTGTCATTAGCTAGAGCTTAAAGAAACAGAACAATATTCCCACTTTGGCACATGCTGGAATAAAAATATGGAGAATATTGTATTCTTCTTCTTAGGGTAGATAGTTAGCTAGTAGAGAAGATAAGGTGGAAGAGTCAGGCTAGGCAAGAACAGGCCTTGAATGCCCAACAGCAGCTTGGGTTTGTTGTGTAGCATAGCATTGAGGTTCCTGAGCAGGGAAGAGTGGTGGTCTGTTTAGTTTAGCAAGGTCCAGGAGCAGTGGAAGAGCTGGTGCTGAAGACAAAAAGCCTATGAAGCTAATCTGTTCAGTAAATATTTATTGGGCTTCTAGTTCTGTGTTGGCACTGGGGTCATGCAGAGAAGTCAGACCAGCTCCTGGCTACAGAGGAGCAAAGTCTGAGGGGGACAGATGGGCTACAGTCCACTCAGAACAGTGCCACGTTAGCAGGGTGTCTGAGGAGGGGCTGTGGGGAAGGAGTGGAAAGACTTGAGCCAAAGCATAGCAGTGAGGAGGAGAGTGGTGGGCTGGAGTCACGGGAGCGGGAGAAACCGAGATGTGATGATTGGCAGGTGTGGAGCCCTCCCTGAGGGGATAGTGAACCAGGGATATCCCAGACTCTGCCTATCTCCAGGGAAGCAGCTGGCCCTCCTCAAAACCAACTCGGCTGTCCGGACCTGCGGTTTTGACTTTGGGGGCAACATCATCATGTTCTCCACGGACAAGCAGATGGGCTACCAGTGCTTTGTGAGCTTCTTTGACCTGCGGGACCCGAGCCAGATTGGTGAGGGCGGGGGCCAGAACTGGGGTGGAGGTGGAGGGTACAGCCCTGGAGACCAGGGTCTGACATCTGCTGCCCCACACAGACAGCAATGAGCCCTACATGAAGATCCCTTGCAATGACTCCAAGATCACCAGTGCTGTGTGGGGACCCCTGGGAGAGTGCATCATTGCAGGCCACGAGAGTGGAGAGCTCAACCAGTATAGCGCCAAGGTAAGCAGGGCCAGAGTCCACCAGAATGACTCCTTACAAAAAGCCGGATACCTTGGTGGCTAGGAACAGGCTTTCACCACTTTCTTGGCTTTGTGTTGCAGCTATGTGATGTTGGCCAATTACATTCCTTCCTTGAGCCTGTTTATCTATAAAATATCTCAAGGATCAGATGACATCAGATGTTTGGGAAACTTGGCACAAAATACTCAGGACATGTTACTAATGAGCACAAATCCTTTTTCTGCCAGCAGAGAGCCAGCCCCTGTGCTCGGCTCCTATGGTGGCACATGCCTGTGATCCCAGCACTTGGGAGACCTCAGTCAGGAGGATCCCTGTGAGTTCAAGGCCAGCCTGAACTACATAGCAGACCCTGTCTCAGAACAGAGGATCACATATGATCCAGGGGGACACAGATGTGCAGACAGCACATGAATCAGATTGTGAATTGTGCCACCACTGTGGCCTCAACCAAGTACGGGAGGTGCACTGTATCACAGGGGCTAGCAAGTACTTTAATGGAGCTTCAAGCAGAAAGAATAGAATATTCCACAAGCAAAAGGAGTAGCAACAACAAAGATTCAGAGTTAAGGAAGTACGTGAATTCTTCAAGAATTCTCAGAATGTTTTTGGGCCCACATCCTGTGGGGAAGGTGGACAAGGACTAGATTGTAAAGGTCGGTACACATCAGGAGGAAAGGAGTTGATTTTCCTGTAGCTAGTAGGATTTTTTTTTTTTTTCTTTCACTACTAAGGATTAAACACAGGGCCTTTGCACTAAACTACACCCTCAGCTCTCTTTTTTAAGGCAAGATCTTAAGAAGTTGTCCATGCTAGGCTTAAACTTGTGATCCTCCTGCCTCAGCTTCCTAGAATGCTGGGTTTACAGGCATGCCCCAACACACCCAAGAATATGGAATTTTTGAAGGGTTGTCAATCATATTTTCTGCGGGCTACGGCTTGGGAGAATGGACCTGAACTAGCCAATAGGGCATGGGAATGTAGAGAGCTAGGTAGACAGAGTCGAGATATTTAGGGCTGGAAAGTCTTCTGATGTTCTGTCCGGAAAGTCTGATGACACCACTAGTGGTGTCCCTATAATATAGTTACTTGGGAGGCCGAAGCAGGAGAGTCACTAGTATCTAAGAGTTTAACACCAGTCTGGAGAACTTAGTGAGACCCTATCTCAAAAAAGAAAAGAAAAAAAGACCTTTAGAGGTGATGGATTAGGTTGAAGGGGTAAGGAAAGGCCTGGTTGTCCCAGGTTTCTGGGGAACAGTGGAGGTTGGCACTGGTCAGAGTCTCACTCCCCTTTACTCCTCAGTCTG